TATCATACCTGCCAAGTCCTTTTTACCATGCAAGGTGGCATAGCTCCAGGTTCCTGGAGTTAGGGTATGGCTGTCTCTGTGGGCATTATTCAGTCCACTACACTCCCTTTGTGATTAGTTGGGGGCAAGTAATTCTTAGTTTCCCAATATTTCAAATAGGAATATGTAGATCACCAGGTGCTAAGTGCTAAACTCTAGATGTTTACTTCAGGTATGAAGTAGAAAGGCACATTAATACAAATGTTTTTTTAAGGTTGGTATCTTGACCCTGTGACCTTACCCATTTCCTGGTACCCTCTGTTCATTTCTTAGATTATCAGTAACATCATCCTCGTTCACAGAGGCAGCTCAAGCTTCTCAGTTTTTTGATGTTCACAACTCCTGAGTTTCTGGGTGTGTCTGCAGCCCACCAGGTGACTACTTCCATGTTTCCTCCTCACGGCTGCTTCACCTTGAAAGCCCAACTCACCCTGAGGCTTCCTCTACACTTATTCCATCCTGTTCTTGCTGCCTTAAAAATCGTGGTGAGTGAGTGTCTCCCCTTCATTTTTTGTTCCACAGCAGTTTACATCTTAAATTAGGTGAAGTAATAAATTAAATTGAAGAGCTGCCACTCATTCTCCCTACATTTGTCCTCTAGACAGATTTACTGCTGGGTAAGAGCCCCTGGCTATTTCCCCTTTTAGCCTGTCCTTGGACCAACCATTCAGGACACACTCCTTCACAGCCAAGGCAATTGCTCTGCTCTTATTTATGGGGACACTTTTGTCTAAATCTGAGACCGCCCATCCACTGGACATGCTTATTTTTTGCTCTGTAGTAAAGCTGAGGTGTCACTGTGTTTGAAAAGCTCACCAGGGAGCTCTAAGTGAAGCAGGAAAGGTCTAAACTAATGACCATCATGTTCTCATTGTGATTTCAGTGGTCAAGATGTTTGCCTTCCCAACACCCATTTTACCCCAAAAAGTTTGTGTAGGTCAGTCACGTTGGTTCCACTTCCCTTGACAGGTAATTGCCTTGGAAGGGAACTGTGACCCTGTCCTGGCCAATGACAAGTGAGCAGAAACACAGGGGTGGGGTCCATCTTGGAGAGTTTCCCTCCCTTCTGAAATCAAGTGGCCCCAAGATTGGACACATCTTGGGGTGTGCTATCTGGAAAGGCCAAGCTGTCTTCACCCAGCCCAAGGACCATGCCAGAGGAATAGCTGAGGAGTGAGAGCAGAGCAGACCTCCTGGGGCAGCCCCAGTGCTTGCTGTACTCTGCACTTTTTGTTTAAGAGGTAACACATTTCTGTGGGGTTTAAGCCAGTGTGCAATAGGTTTTCTTGACCTGGTTGTATCCTAACCGAAACAGACATCAATGTCAACATTTTTCCTTTACAACCCCTATGCCCTTTGCATCTGGCCAGGAGATTCAGAATCTTTGAAGATTCCTGATTCATCTTCTGAGAGAACCGCAGTGGAGTCCAAGGGTTTGAGGTTCTTTTTGGGTGATATTAAAATAAAAAATGATGTAGAAGAGGCAGTGGTCCCTCAGATTTGTCCTTCACTCATCTCCAGGCACATTTGGACAGAACCCACTCTATGGCACAATAGTGAGTTAAATGGAAATTTTAAATATCTATGGGTTATGAATTTCATCTAATACCATAACTAAAGCTTCATAAATATCTCCTAAACATTCTTCTTCTTTTTCCCCAAATATCTCCCAGGGCATATCCTGTCCACACCTCTCACCCCCAGACTCTGCCATCTCTTCCACTTCCGAAGCAATGCAGTATTGGCCTTTGGTCTGTTCACCCCCCACCCTAAGGCTCTGGCAAGTTCAAGTATATACTATTTTTTGCTCACACAGAACTCATCACCCTATGTCACCTCAGACAGTGATTAAGCAAAACAGGTTACTTTCTAGGGATAAATAGTGATGGCAGCATAATTGTGTTTAACTTTTAAACCATGTCAATATATCCTTTGTGGAAAACATATATGCTTTTCTCTGCACACTGACAATCAATTCTCTTCTAAGCAATGAGTGAGGAGAAATTTAAAAAAGCAGTTATTTACCTTTGGCACAGAAGCATTACTTGTTTATAAATCAAGAATGGCCTCTGCTCACCCTGTCCCCTCCTGCACCCCTGCTTCCCCTTGTCTCTTCTCGGGGAATTTTCTTCCCCTTCACCTGTGGGACTGGAGATCCTGTGGTTTCTTGACACACAGTTGTCTTGTTCAGCCTGTTTGTATCCAGCTGGGGAGAATTTGAAGCCCACTAACTTGTTAACCCAGACCTGCTCATCAAGAGCCCCTCTGGCCCAGCCAGTTCCTCTGAGCCTCGGGAGGCTGGTGGATCTGACTGGCCATTGCATTAACCAGGGGACCTCCAGGCTGGGCCCTCTGTGGTGCACACCCTATCCTAGTCAGAGGATAGTCATAGCCACCCTAGTGTCCCTGGAGGAGCAGCACACCGGGGCCCCCTTCAGCCCTTCCCTCCAAGCACCTGGGTGTGAGGAAGGCAGGTGTCGCTGTTACCCGCATTCTTCCTCCTGCCCCAGTTTCCACAGCTCCTTTCCTCCATAAGCCATGCACCTCCCCAAAGTCTCAGCTCTCCACGCTTGCTTTGTCTGCATGGGTGGGACCAGCACGTTATGGATGGGGTGGCATTAGTGCCTCATAGTCACAGTCATAGTATTTGTTATGAAACCTTCCAAGTTGGAGGAAAACTAGAGGGTGTGGCTCCTGACCAGGGATCCACTTGTTCAAGGAATCCTCAGTATGGGTGAACTTTGTTCCCTTTGTGTCTCCATAAACCCGAATCTACATGTCCAGTTCAAATCCTCACACTAGAGCCAGATACACAGTAGATGTTATTGCAGCTGGCCAGGATCAGTTAACTTCCTCATTCTTTTCTCCTAAATCTCAGGTGGGCCCAGGAATCTAAGCTTTTATAAAAGCTTCAGGAGTGAGTTGAATGTGGCTCTTGTATAGACTGGTATTTGGGAAGTCCTAAGGACTTTGAGTAGTTTGTGGTTTCTCTTCAGAAATATCTAATAACATCCAGCAGGCATTTGCCAGGTCACTGCCCACTTCCCTCTATATAGGGCATCTAACATCTCCTGAACCGATGGGCTGTTTTCTAACCATTCCAGGGTCTAATGTTGCCCTGGCCATATTGCATTCTGAATACTAAGTTCTGTATGAACACAGAAAGGAAGCCCTGGCTGGGGTGAGGTCCAAACCTCGCCAATTAAGAAAAGGCCCCGCAGTACTGGGGTGTGGGGCTGGACAGGGGCAGGGCCCTTAGTGGGTGCAGGCTTTGTGTCTCTGACCTTGGCACTGGCTAGAGCAGCACTAGTTCCCCCACAGAGGCTTTCGTTCAGGAAGTGGAACTTTTTCTTTATCTTCATTAAAGTGGTAATCATAAATTCTACCTATTCTATTCTAGCAGACATTCCACCTAATTACCCGAAGCGCCTAGCTGTTGGTAATTACACACACAGATAGATACACACACACACAAATAGATAACTGATATTCTTTATTTATAAGGCAATTCTGAAATTCCTCACAGTTAGTAATAAATGTGATAATGTATGAAAAAGGATTAGCAGAATGGCAAATTCTGAATACTCAGATGTTGGTAGATATATTATCCTTGCTAATAGATTAATATAAATGAAGAGTAAAATAGGAAAATCACACAAAGAGAAAAAGAGTGGTAATCAATCAGCAATTCATACAATGAATTGGGTATTTAAAAAATAAGCAATCAGCTTTCTATTACTTTATATTTGGGTTATTACTGGATAGTAGTATTGTGTGGTGATATTACAATTAGCTTATGTACAGTAACACCACAAGGTGAGGTGGCCTTACTGTTCAGTCAGCTCCTTGGAGACGGGACACGATTTTTACCTGATACTCTTTCCCTTTTGGCATGTTTTATGCAGTGGACAGTTAGTAAGTAATCAATGAATTTAAAAAATGGAAATGAAATTGTTATCAGCCACTAATCTCTCCCTAAATTATTTATTAGTGTTGAGCACATGGCTGACATGTCCTTTTTAAAACAGCCTCTTCTTCCACCGAGTCTTTGAAATAATGAGGACCAGACTTGCTGATTGTTTTATTGACAGATGTTGCTGGGAAGAGGAATACATCTGAAAATTTGACTCCGCATATTCTGGGTATTAAGTTCTGCGCAGGCAATATGATTTAAATAATTTAATTATGCATTAAAAAATGCTTATTATAAAGCCATTTCTGTGAAAGAAAGAAGATGGACTTCACAATTGGTCAGAAAGTCAAATTTTTAGCTTTTACTGTAAGGGCAGCTTCCCAGAAATGGCTTCTCTACTGCCCTAGGAACAGGGTCACTGGAGGCCTGTCATGCCTCAATCCTTTCTCCTTTTATCACTGCGGGCCACCCCAATAATCCCTCTCCTGCATAGGAACATGGAGGCCTTTCATGACTTGTACCCAGAGCCCTGCATGCAGACAGTGATGCCCGAAGTGCCTAGCTGTTGGTAATTACACACACAGAGGTTTGGGCCATGCTGCTTAAAAACTAGCACTCAGAGTGAAGTCCACAGGTCAGGAAGAAGAGAATGATGACATTTTTGTTACTTAGTAAAAAGTAAGTATTTTTTTCTCTAAAGACTCTTAGCCACATTAGAGCCCAAACTGCTTTGCCTGGGGTAAGCATTTCTGGGGTGGATTGGGGACAGTTTTCAGCCTCCAGGGAGGCAGTAGCAGGTATTTATCAATGTTCGGTCAGCCCTTCAAGGAACAAAACACATGGTGTGTGGGCTGCTTGGGAAACGTTGGCAAATGTCTCTTTTGACTGTCTTGCAGATAAAAGGAAACTTTCCATAGTAACTTACCAAGAAGCCAGAGCTGACAGTGAAGACTACATTGGCATGTGTGTCCAGGTAACGGTAGTGAGCTTTTGAGGTTGTGCTTGGCCAGGAATTCAAAGGCAACAGAGCAAATTACCCTGGCCCTGAATATCAACTCTATATTTATTAAATTTTCTTAGATTCAAAAAAAGTAATTTGATATACTTGATCCTTTTAAACTTTTCAAACACAAAGCAAGGCACCCTTACAAATACAAGACACAGACTATTCCTAAGCCACTTGGAAAGAAGTTATCAACATCACACGTCACGTCAGCATGAATCTCCCAGGAGCAGGGACAATCTGTTATGTGGTTACTATGTCCTTATCACAGCCAAGAGCACCACAACGTCACCTGGTACAGAACTCACATTGTCATGTCTCCAGCTGTCCCGAAATGTCTGCCTTAGCTTGGATTCCTCCAAAAGTAGAATGTGAGGTTTCAAGTGAAGGTGTTTATTCAAGAAGTAATGTAAAAGCACGGGAAGAGGAACAAGCAGGTGAGGCAGAGTGAGGAAGGAAACCTGGAATTTCATCCTACTGGAAATGCTGGGAAACAGGCGAGTTGCTGGGGTATCGATGTGTTGACTGCTACCTCTCATCTGGGGCTTGCTCCCAGGAGGCATTCATTCCCTGGTATCTACAGCCCCCATCACAGGCTGAGGAGCAGGTGACCAGAGGAGGCCCTCAGGCAAAGGGGGACAGGGGTGGCAGCTGCCACAGTACAGCTAAGTGTCCCTCAGTCCGTATAATGTGCACATTGCTTTTGACTGTCCAGGCTCTGCCCTTCCAAACAGCTGTTGATAACTTGTCCTTTGTAACAAAATTAAGCACTGGAGACTCCCTCGGGTGGACGGGTATTCCCTGAGGCTAGTTGCTTTCTCCAGATGACAGGTCAATGACATTGTTCCCTGTGCCCTCTCAGGTGTCACATGATATGCTCCTGCCATGGTAGATGTGTGCACCAGGCCACGGCTTGCCTTCCCCTCAAGGCAAGCCCATGTGGACCCCACAGGACAGACCTTACTCTATGTTGGTACCTTTTGGAGCCCCAGACACTATAGACCCTGACCCAGGCTCTCATTATACTTCCCACCCCTACAAGCACGGGTACTGGAACAAGGCATATAATGGGATTTTCACTGGCTGGTCCCTCAAGTGGCAGGTCTGACTGAGAGACATAATGGCCTTGTTAAGGAAGTGCTATTTAAGTTACACTTGGGTAAATGGTTCCCCTTAGGGGGTCACTCTTCTGCCTCAGGCCTTGATCCTATTAAATTCTAGACTGGAGGGCCCCAAAAGACCTCCTACCAACTTTTGTAAAGTGCCATATCACCTCCCATTAATGTCAAGGAGATATAAAAAGTCTCCGTGTTCACTGAGACTCCAGTTGTATGTTTACTCGTCACCACTTCCCCTCCACCTCCATTTCTCAGTCGTTTGTGGTCCCAACAGGTTTGGTGACCTGACTGAGAGCAGGTTCCTCCCTGTGACCCATGACCACAGAAGCCCTAGGGATCCCCTGTGGGACCCCGAGGAAGTGCTAACTGCTCTCCCTGCTCCACAAGTCTTTGCCACCAGGACCTGTGTGGCCCACTGAGAGAGGAGACGGCAAACTCCGTCTAGAAATGCTAGTCATGTCTGAGACACAAGGGGAAGAAGTTCCTGTGCTTCTGTGGGGCCCCTAAACCACACTCAGCATGTCAGAGCAGCCACATTCCTGGGCTCTGGAGATAAAAGGCCCCTTCACCCGGGACCACCCCACCCGCTTGGTGAGCGCACAGCTCCCTGGGAGAGCGGCTACAACCATCAAAGAACAAATTTGTCCAAGGCCACTGTTAGCCTCTGTGCTGGCTACTTGTGTCTGTATTTTGTCCAGCTACTTGGGCTAGTCTGTGACCCTTAAGCCCAAATCCTCTGACCCGAGGAGGGTCTCAAGCTCCCAGACAACCCCTGTGCCCATAGAACAATTGGATATTTTGCAATTGGAAATGTATAGAGTCCCTCCTAAACTTTCTGAGACCTGCTTGCCCTTGTGTATATTATCCAGGGCGCAGGCGAGTGCACAGTGACCTCACCCTAAGACACAGGCATGAACCAAACAAAGGCCCGCAGGCCTGGGTGGGCACCTCACAGGGCTGTCATCACAGCAGCACACATTTCACCAGAGTTGGATGCCCTGCACTTGTCCTGAAATGCACCCAGACTGCCCAGGGAGCCTGCCCCACCCTCTGGGTAAGGTGCGTTGTGTAACAGCCACCCTGCTAGCTCAGCTGGGCTGCCTTTGCACTGCCCTCCAGTAAACAAGCTGTGCAGCCAGGCTGGGAAATCGTTGCGCAAGGAGGCCAGTGTTTGCCTGTACTGGAAATCTTGCTGATGTTTGCACATCCAGCTCCTGAGCCCGGCAACCCTGGCAGGGCCCCCAGTAGCCCAGGCCAGTTTTTATCCCACAGAGCCTAGTTAGAAACTTCACACCATGCTAGAGGATAGCTGCTTGGGAGGCCTGTCCCAGGAGCAGATGTCACCCAAGCCTGAGAGCTCACTGCTGGAGAGGACAGCATTTCAGACCCATCTGTCCCCATGTGCCTCCACAGAAGATCCAGCGAGACTACAACCACGCACCTCCAAGTGACCACCTGCCTCAAACACGACCTTCCAACAGGACAGCTCTCCAGTGCTAACGTTTGTCAGCCTTCCACCCCTGGGTGCTCAAGGACGCCTGCAAACGTAAGTCCTGTCCTGGCCACTGTGATGCTGCATAACTCATGTCCACCTTCTTTGGGATCAAGTAGCAATTACATACCATTCTTAAAGCAAGGGTGCCTGCCCAAGGCCTGCCCCATCAAGTCTCCATGGGCCCCTAGAGGGAGTACCTCCCCTGAACACTGAAAAATGATGAGAGACTTTTGTGGGCTCCCAAACCTGCCACCACAAGGCCTCCATGAATCTCCGTGCTCTATGCTGGAGGACACCCTTCCTGACAAGAGGTCTCACTGACGCCTTGCCCATCTCTGGAGCATGAGAGAATGCCAGCCCCAGCACAGGCCTGCATGAGCACACCACACCCCCATACCCCAGCCTCCCAGTCCCTGACCTCTCGCTCTAGAGAATACCCACACTAGCATGAGGCCTCCACTCTCACCCCATCTCTGGCCCCAGACAGTACCCACCCAATCAGGAGGCCCACAGTGCACACACTTTCTTTCACACCAAACAACATCCTTCCTGGTTCAAGTCCTTCACAAATACCCACTTGGTGTGACTTGGCTTTAGGGAAAAACCATCCTAAACCAGGTGTCCACTAACACCAAAATCCTGTCTCATGTCTCATGTGATAAAGTGCTCACTGCAGCATCTGGCCCCCATGCACCACCCTCATTTTTTTAAAAATTTTTATTAAGTATCATTGATATACAATCTCATGCTCAGGTTTCACATGAGGAGCAACATTGTGGTTACTACATTCCCCCTATTATCAAGTCCCCACTGCATACCCCATTACAGTCACTGTCCATCAGCGTAGTAAGATCCATGCTCCCCATCTCTTATACTGGAGAATAGCCTCCCAGTGTCAGGCTCTGACCAGATCCAATGGGACCATCCTAACCCCACCTGGACTCAGGTCAGGCCCTGAACTGAAAATGTCCACTGATAGGTGTGCTGGCATCCTGGTTCACTGCAGTCACTGGGGGACATGGTACCATTTTAGCTAGAAAGTAGGGGCCACGGTAACTGTAGATATGCCTCCTATGCTAAGCTCAGCATCAAAATCTGGGCACACTTAGGAGAGGTTGCCCATGTGTGTGGCATACCAATGGAAAAAACGAGGGACTAGGGTTCCAGCTAGCTCTCCTTTCCCTGTAACTGTTGGAAGAGCAAATATAACACAGGCTGATTTGCTCATTCCCCTACTTATTTTCCCAGAGTCTTGCAATGTCTGGGGGACCCCTCAATCCTTCATCCCAACCTACCACACCCATCAAGACATATATGGAAGGAAGAAAGATAAAAAGAGGGAGGTGCCAACTCTACAGCAGTCAGGAATGAGCGATTAACCAATGAGATTAATACCTTTCCCACCCTTCATGTCCTCCATGTATATCAGTTTTAAGTCTATACATGAAAGCCTGATTGTATCCATGTTAGGAGTGTCAGTGTTCCCCACCTGGATATATTGTCTGGATAAACTTGGAATTTCCAGGTCAGACTCAAACTTGGACCTGGAACACAGGTACTCCACCAAATTGTGTGGTTATGAGAAGGGTTGGTGTTTGCCTTGAGGAACATCTGAGTGGTTTTGTTTCCTTTCTCTAACATTTAAAACTGTGCTTGACTGTTTGCTCTTTAATTATAAAGCACTATTTGGTTTGTGCCTTTAAATGTGGCAGAGGAGAGAGGTTTACAGACAAAAGTGGCACCCAGCACCTGTGTCTTCAAACTTTGCAGTGTAAAGATCAAAAGGCAGATTGGCACAGAAAAGGTTCCCTGTGCCCACAGGGAAAATCCCAGGCTTTTTCACGTTCATAATTCGGCATGTCCTAGATATCTACTTAGAGGTAAGTGCCAAAATCTTTACAAATAGAAAATAATTCTCTGATGTCAGGGACTCTCAATTGTGGACCATTCCCAGCAATTCAGATATAAGTTCGAATGCATATCTCTTGGTCATATAAGTGATTATATTGAGTGCTTTGTCATTTACACTCACTGTGATTTGATATCATTTACTGAATTTATTTCATTTATTTATATAGGAAGAAAAATTAGACATAATTTAATACATTATTACATAACATACCTGAATACATTACACAAAATACATGATTTAAAATAAGCATATCAGTTATCACATACATGCTTTTTCATTGAATTTTTTTATCTTGGTCCCCCAAGCCATCTCTTCTCCACTTCACCCTTCTCAGGAAACCCCACAATAATGAATGTTAACATATTGGTATGCACTTCCCATATTTTCCATATTTTCTCCATGCTCCTACACTTTATATCATTTATGTGTCTGGAATTCTTATATATATGATGTTGTTACAGGTTAAGTTTGCTCTCCTTGGTTCTTGTCCCCGCCACAACAAAGAATTGAAAGGTAGAGACACAATAGTGAAGCAGAGTGAAAGTTTTATTTAAATACACTCCAAGGGAGGAACGGGTCAGAGTCAAGGTAGACAAAGGCCCCAAACTTTTAAGGGAAGCGCTGTTTATCACCACCTAGCTGGGAAGCATTACTTTTGATTGACGGGGTGAGGTCATTTGATTGACAGCTCTAGTTATACACCCATTCCTCATGTTGCACATGTCTTTTCCCAGAATGCACACAAAAAAGCCCATGGTTGGGGTGGGGAGCAAAACCACAATTTTCTTTTAATGAAATTATGAGGAGGAAAACTGTCCTTAGTTTTCCTCAATGGCACCTGCACTGGGACCTTGCTGGGATCTGGTTGGGAACCTGCTGGCCTGGTCCCAATAGGCAAGAAATATCTCTCTGCAAAGCCTTTGTTGTCTTCATGTGGGACCTGCTACCTGGGCAGTTTGGATAGTTTTTTTCCTTGAACCTTATCTTTCCCTTCCCTGGCTGCTCATGTCTATCTTTCTACTTTAACAATGTTGGAGGGGAAATCCAATTCTGTGGAGAGCCACTTGTTCTAGCATCAGGCATTAAATGATTCATTATTTTCCTCTGAATTACACAGCCCTTTTAATCATATCTTAAATTCTTATATAAGTAAAAATGAATTCTGAGTTTTCTATTCTGTTCCACTAGTATTTCTGTGTAAGCTTATATCAATATGATTGATTAGATTAGATTGACTTCGTGATGAGCTCTGAGATCCAGTAAAGAAAGTCTCCATCACTGTTTTTTCTTTCCATGAATTTTCTCTATGGCATTAATATTTTTATATGCAGGTGAAACTTTTGCATCTAATTAAAACAATCCTGTTGGAATTTGGAACATAATTGCCTGGATGTATACAGAATTTAAATTTTAGTAAACTGTCTTTCTATCCCAAAATTGTGCACACCTTTTCACTTGTACAGATATATTTTATGCCTTCAATGCTATTATTTAGTTTTCTTTTTCCTGTAGAAGCTCTATCACTCTTGGTATATTAATTCCTAAGTATTTTGACATCCTAAGTTGGAATAAAGGCAATATTTTAGCCATTTCCATTTCGAGATGCTTTGGTACAAGTTTTGTATATTTTCCATGTAAACCTCTAGAATACTCCACTGTATACATATAGGATAATGAGCATAAAAAAGAAAAAGAGTGTTTCATATTGTGAAAATAGTCTTTTTGTCAGGCCTCAAGAAATGATGTCAGAGATTGCCTTGCGTCCCATGATAACACTTTAAAAACCACTGCTTTGAAGTTCAGATGAAACCAGCTTCCTCTAGCCCTTGGCTATTAGACCCCCGAGCTCTTTAATATCTGAAATTAGAAAGATGTGCTGTGGTGAATGGAAGTCGTGCAAGAAAAGTAAAGGGGTAGGAAAAGCAACACCACACCTGATTTAAATTAGTTTGAGGAAAAGAAGGTGTGCACTGGTGACACAGGTAACAACACCGAACACTGAACAATCCAAAAGGAAATTTTTTTAACAGGTACAGAGTTTTTGTCTGTAGTGGCAAAAATGTTTTGGGTGGTGATGGTTCTACAACATTGTGAATATATTTGATTCTACTGGATCATATACTCATGCATGGTTAAAATCGTATTATGCTGTGTACATTTTACCAAAATTAAAAAATAGTATCTATAGATAGATAATTATAGGCATTATAATAATGTCTACTAATGACGCACAAGATACAGAGATCCATAAACTATGGCTGGCGGGTATAGCTAGCTGCCTGTTTTTGTATAGGCTGTGAGCTAAAAATGGTTTAGACATTTTTTTCATGGCTGAAAACTCCAAAAGATGAGTAATATTTCATGGAAATTAAGTGAATCTTAACTGTCAGTATTCATAAATAAAGTGTTTTGGAACAAAAAAATTAGTCCAAATTGCTAAATTTAAATAATTGATTTATTTTTAGTGGGGCCCTGTTATGATTGCCGTTCTAAGAATGACTCAAATTCCCCACTGATCATTCAAACTGACATTTCTTTTTATAGTGTAAGACTTTGCTTTCCATAGGCTTTTTTAAATGTCCATGCCTTTTTGCGTTTCTCAAAGGTTTCTGTAGATTTGCAACTTGGTCTTTTCTGCATGGACATGCCTATTAGAGTTTCCATTCGTCAATGTTACAGAACCCAGAATATTTAACTACCTTTCTTCAACCCGGTTGAACTCTACTTGTACTGGGTAACATGACTGGCTCTTAGAGGGCTTGACTCTCTGTGTGACTACTGAAACTACTGTTCCTTGTACATGGCACGCTCTCAGAACTTCATGGCCTGCTCCCAATTCCCTGCTTACAGAAACAGATGTATATAGCTCTATTTTATAACTTGCCATTAGTACAAAAGAAAAAAAGTACTCATATACATTTACCTTCCTAACTTACTAAAATCGGTAGGTGGATGGTACTAAATACAGAATAGGTGGATGTACAGAGTCAGAACATAACTGTCAGGGTTTGGAGGGAAGGAAGGATGGGGAGTTGTTTCTAATGAGTAAAGGGTTTCTTTGGGGATGATGAACATGTCCTGAAGTTCTATAGTGGTGATATCTCAATGAATATACTAAAACCCTCTGAACTGTATAATTTAAAAGGGATGGTTTTATCTCATTAAAGCTGTTAAGAAATAGCAATTGTATTATTTTCTACCCTCTGCAGATTTCTTTTAAGAAAGAAGAAGATCAGTGTCTGTCTATCCAAAAGAGTAAAGGAAGATGAGTCAAATGAGATCCTATTTTGTAAAGCTGAATGATGGGCTCTTCATGCCCATTCTGGGACTTGGCACCTCTGCTCCTAGTAAGGTGGGCCTAATGGTATTGGCTATGGAGGTACAGCAGCCATGGGTCCTGATCAATACCAGTCAGTGTGTGAATCTGGGCAATTCATATGGAACTCACTGTCTTCATCTGTAAGCTGTTTCTCTCCAGGGTAGGTTGTCTTGTGCATTTAAGTCAGTGATTTTCACATCTCATTAGGTATTAAAAACCCCTGAGGTGCTTGGTAAATATGAAATTTGGGTGCCCCACCCAAACAACTGCTGATTGAGTAAATCTGGGTTAGGGATCACAAATCCACATTTCTAACAAGCTGCCCAGCAATAGACAGCTTGGATGTTAGAAATTCCAGAGAAACTTCATCACCAGCTTGCTGCGAAGTTTCTGACACGTGGCAACCATGACAACTGGGTGTTACTTATCCTAGCACACTGTGAGGTGGCTGCCCTGGACAGAAGGCAAGAGTAATAGAACCAGACTGTCCCACCCCATCTCCCCTGACATAGTGCCACCTGGGTGTGATCCATGGACAAGCACATGTTCATTTCCACCACTACTCAGAATATCCAGAGGAATTTGATGGCTAAAGGACCTGGAGAAAGAGAGCGAGTATTAATGTCAGATAGCTGGGGTGGAAATAGTCTGTTCAAGGCTAGGTTCTTAATGCTGTGCCCTGACGGAGCCACATGGCATAAGGAAACTCTCTGGCATGAGGTGTCCTTTGACTTGGTTCTTTAACCTGTGGACAGTCAGTTAATCTCCATGGGACCAGTTAATTCATCAGAAGTTGCAAGTCAACAAATATGCACAAGAGAAATTCTAATTACTGCATGAGTTGGGGTGATGGAGAGGGGAGAGTTGTGGATAACTTCGAAAGTCCAACCTGGTGGCCAGAAGCACAAGAGGCAGCTGAGGAAAATTAGAATTGTGAAGGAGAGAGCATCACCCAAAGGCCAACTGAATGACCCAGGAAAGAATTAAGTATGAGATACATTTTAGTGAAAAAAGAGTATATTTTCTTCTATAGTTTTGTCCTTCATCAAATGTTTGAAGTGTTTCCCCAGGCTTACATAGATAAATCACTAATTTATTCTGTCTAAAGTTACATTTTCATTTCATTGATAGGTAAGTTTTGGTATTGGATTGCTGGGTTGAAACTAGTTTAATAATCTCTTTAGAGTGATTTAATTTAGGAATGTAAATCTATAGAGTGTGTAGATCCAGAGATGGAAGGTTAAACCCAGTGTTGTCGGAGGCCAATTCACGGACTCAACAGATTCAGTAGTGAGCATCTTTTCCCAATAGTGGAAGCTTGAAATCAGCCATAGTTGGGAGTATTTATGCCATAGAAATTGGCAACACTACAAATCAGGATTTCTTTTCTTCAGAGAGTTGGTTTTTAAATATTTGCCACTAGTTATAAGTCAACATTTAGCTTTGTCACTTCTAGCTCCTAGCCCTTAGAAAATCAATAAGTTCTGTTGACTAGCTCATGGGCTTATGTAACTGGTCATCTGTTCCCTGAATCAAGTAGGTCTTCATCTTTTTATGCTCTTCTAGGTTGCTAAGAGTAAGGTAGAAGAGGCCACCAAGATAGCAATTGATGCAGGCTACCGCCATATTGACTCAGCTTATATGTACCTAAATGAAGAAGAGATCGGGAGGGCCATCCAGGAGAAGATTGCCAATGGCACTGTGAAGAGACAAGACATATTCTACACTTCGAAGGTGCTGTGTATAGTTGCACATGTATCTCTGAAGCTCACTCTTGGCCAAATACTATCTTGGTGAATTTCTCTTCTTATTGGCTTAATTTTCATTCACACTCAGACCTTCTATGAGAAGGCTGGTTAAGCACATGCTGGCTAAGAATGTGGGTTCCATGGTAAGACTTCCTCTATTTGAATCCAGATTCTGCCACTTAGTAAATGTGGACCTTGAACAAACGACTTAAACCCCGTACCTTGGTTTCTCAAGCTCTAAAATGAAGATATTTACCTCACAAGATTTTCATAATTTTTACTTTGAAGAATACATGTAAAGCTTTTAGGAAAGTATTTAATATAATTAATATGTCTTAATATAGTTTCCTGTAATATTCTTCCCTGGCATCATATTTGAAACAAATAAAAGAGCTTGCATATTTAAGTCCTAGTGGAAAGGGAGCCAAGGGAGCCATGGGGAATTGTTTCCATGGTGTTCACTGACTGACTACAGCTAGTGTCCATGGACTGACAAGCATTGATATCTGAGGGGAAGTAGCCCATAAAGGAGGGTTGAAACAATGTCTCTACCCTCTCACTCCAGAGTTGTTCCAGAGCCCTGTGTTCAGGTGTCGCCACAGCAGCAGGCTTCTGGCCCCCATGTGTAATCCTCTCCATAGGATCTTTTGGCTCCCTTGCTTTTGGCAATTTTTGATTGATTTTCCTTAGCTTATTACCTCTTAAAATGAGATGCCTAAGGGTTCCCCAAAAGAAGTTCCTATGGGCCTCACTTTCTTTGGGACCCCTGACTACTTAAGACAGTCCGGACAGAATTTCCTGAATCACAGTCACTTGAGGTTCTTGTTCAAAATACAATTTTCCAGTGCCATCCCCAGATACTGTGATGGATTGTGTTCAAGGTAGAACCCAAGAATATGTCTTATACAAGCAAACCAGACAATTATTTTACAGTCTGAAGTTTGAGAACCTCTGTGTAGGACCATATTTTCATTTTGAGCATTGTTGTCTTAATTCGGTAGGAAACCAGCCGTCATGATACAGAACTCACGAGTTTCCTAGGGTGACTTGTCCCTTCCCAGTGATTATAAGCATGTTTTTGGTTGATGTTGTTTATTTGCCGTTTTATTAACCCTTCCTAAGGATTCCTAAAGAAATAATCCCCACCACTTCTCTTTTAACTACTGCAGCTGTGGGGCACGTTTTTCCATCCAGAATTGGTCCAAACTGGCCTGGAAGTGTCACTGAGGAGAGTTCAGCTGAGCTATGTGGATCTTTATCTTATTCATTTCCCAGTGCCTTTGAAGGTTAGCAAGTCTTATTTTACTTTGGCTATCAACATAAAAATTAGCAGCTGAATACAAGAGAAGATATAGTTGGTGAGGGTGAAAAGAAGCAGATACAGTACTTTAAGATTCCCTTTTGTGCTTCCACCCTTCCCATCTCAGCTGGCGATTCCAGCCCCCGAGCCACAAGACTTCATTGGTTGCAATGTACTTGCCTCAATCTAATAGCCATGCTGCCCACACCTTCAAGACTCCATGTTCCTCAATATCGATCTCATGTCCCCAGGCGTCCAGGGAATGTCCTGATCGGGAGGCCCTTTAAGGCACAGGAAATTCAAGGGAGATGAGACAGCCCTTGAGATGCTGACAGGTGGCTCTCAGAAGGCTACCTCCATGTGGAAAGCAGGGGTGGGAGAGGCTTACCCCCCAAGGTCCAGAGCCAAGAGCCTGTGGAGCTGTGGCACCACTCTAACCTTTCTCTAGGATGGGGTCTTGGAGGTCTCAAGTTGTCCTTGACACAAGAAATATTGACTGAACCTTTAGCAGTTAGAAACATTTCCAGGAAGTGTAGCTCCTCAGTGTGCTTCCCTTCCCTTTTTTCTTCCCTGACAATTCCTTCCCAGAGGAGGGTTGGTTCGCTCCATTAGCCTCAAGGTCTGCAGTCTCTGGAAAGCTCATTAGAGGCTGTGCAAAGCTTTAGCAGCCTCTCCTTCTTTCCTGTGTTGCAGCCTGGGGAGGAGATTGTGCCAAAGGACGCACATGGGAAAATCATTTTCGATGAGGTGGATCTCTGCACCACGTGGGAGGTGAGATGGCTCCAAAGAAGCCATGTTTCTGCACGTTGAGGGAGGGAGGAAGGACAAGGAAGTCAGGATAGGTGGGTTGAGTCTAATCCTGCCACCCGCCTGTCTTGACCTGGGCAGGTCCCTGAATGTCCCGCTGCCTCGGTTTCACATTTTGTGCATTTAATAGCTCAGTGAGTACTTATTGGGTGCTTATGATATGCCCAGTACTGAGTGTTTCTGAGTGTGTATCAGGCTACATGGTGGCTGGGCCTAGGCCTCTGGTCCCCTGGGGGGAAGTGTTGTTGTGTGTATGTGTGTCTGTGAGTCGGGGGCAGGTGGGAGACTAAAGCTAATGGGGGGAACTGAGGGTGCAGGGTGGGTCTGGGTCTCAGGCAGCAGCTGAAAGCAGAATGGGCAGGGCAGGGGAAGGCTATATCTGAGCAGACTGGCAGGCCCCGGAGAGGTGGCTGTGTGGATGGGTACTGGGAAGAGTGACACAGGCAGACCCATGGCCAAGGCACCGTGTCTTCGGCATTGAGGAAACAGCAGTGGCACGCGTGATGGGGACAGAGTGAGGCTGGGGGGAAATAATGGGAAATTGGGTCGGAGAGCACGGGGCCAGCGGTCTGGGGGGCAGCCCTTGCTCTTCCCATGCTGCACCCGGCCTTAATTCCTGCTCTCCTAGAGCTTGCTGTGCAGGGCTTCAATCACGTTTTTCTAGGTGTTGAGCCATTTATATGTACCTAAATGAAGAAGAGATCGGGAGGGCCATCCAGGAGAAGATTGCCAATGGCACTGTGAAGAGACAAGACATATTCTACACTTCGAAGGTGCTGTGTATAGTTGCACATGTATCTCTGAAGCTCACTCTTGGCCAAATACTATCTTGGTGAATTTCTCTTCTTATTGGCTTAATTTTCATTCACACTCAGACCTTCTATGAGAAGGCTGGTTAAGCACATGCTGGCTAAGAATGTGGGTTCCATGGTAAGACTTCCTCTATTTGAATCCAGATTCTGCCACTTAGTAAATGTGGACCTTGAACAAACGACTTAAACCCCGTACCTTGGTTTCTCAAGCTCTAAAATGAAGATATTTACCTCACAAGATTTTCATAATTTTTACTTTGAAGAATACATGTAAAGCTTTTAGGAAAGTATTTAATATAATTAATATGTCTTAATATAGTTTCCTGTAATATTCTTCCCTGGCATCATATTTGAAACAAATAAAAGAGCTTGCATATTTAAGTCCTAGTGGAAAGGGAGCCAAGGGAGCCATGGGGAATTGTTTCCATGGTGTTCACTGACTGACTACAGCTAGTGTCCATGGACTGACAAGCATTGATATCTGAGGGGAAGTAGCCCATAAAGGAGGGTTGAAACAATGTCTCTACCCTCTCACTCCAGAGTTGTTCCAGAGCCCTGTGTTCAGGTGTCGCCACAGCAGCAGGCTTCTGGCCCCCATGTGTAATCCTCTCCATAGGATCTTTTGGCTCCCTTGCTTTTGGCAATTTTTGATTGATTTTCCTTAGCTTATTACCTCTTAAAATGAGATGCCTAAGGGTTCCCCAAAAGAAGTTCCTATGGGCCTCACTTTCTTTGGGACCCCTGACTACTTAAGACAGTCCGGACAGAATTTCCTGAATCACAGTCACTTGAGGTTCTTGTTCAAAATACAATTTTCCAGTGCCATCCCCAGATACTGTGATGGATTGTGTTCAAGGTAGAACCCAAGAATATGTCTTATACAAGCAAACCAGACAATTATTTTATAGTCTGAAGTTTGAGAACCTCTGTGTAGGACCATATTTTCATTTTGAGCATTGTTGTCTTAATTCGGTAGGAAACCAGCCGTCATGATACAGAACTCACGAGTTTCCTAGGGTGACTTGTCCCTTCCCAGTGATTATAAGCATGTTTTTGGTTGATGTTGTTTATTTGCCGTTTTATTAACCCTTCCTAAGGATTCCTAAAGAAATAATCCCCACCACTTCTCTTTCAACTACTGCAGCTGTGGGGCACGTTTTTCCATCCAGAATTGGTCCAAACTGGCCTGGAAGTGTCACTGAGGAGAGTTCAGCTGAGCTATGTGGATCTTTATCTTATTCATTTCCCAGTGCCTTTGAAGGTTAGCAAGTCTTATTTTACTTTGGCTATCAACATGAAAATTAGCAGCTGAATACAAGAGAAGATATAGTTGGTGAGGGTGAAAAGAAGCAGATACAGTACTTTAAGATTCCCTTTTGTGCTTCCACCCTTCCCATCTCAGCTGGCGATTCCAGCCCCCGAGCCACAAGACTTCATTGGTTGCAATGTACTTGCCTCAATCTAATAGCCATGCTGCCCACACCTTCAAGACTCCATGTTCCTCAATATCGATCTCATGTCCCCAGGCGTCCAGGGAATGTCCTGATCGGGAGGCCCTTTAAGGCACAGGAAATTCAAGGGAGATGAGACAGCCCTTGAGATGCTGACAGGTGGCTCTCAGAAGGCTACCTCCATGTGGAAAGCAGGGGTGGGAGAGGCTTACCCCCCAAGGTCCAGAGCCAAGAGCCTGTGGAGCTGTGGCACCACTCTAACCTTTCTCTAGGATGGGGTCTTGGAGGTCTCAAGTTGTCCTTGACACAAGAAATATTGACTGAACCTTTAGCAGTTAGAAACATTTCCAGGAAGTGTAGCTCCTCAGTGTGCTTCCCTTCCCTTTTTTCTTCCCTGACAATTCCTTCCCAGAGGAGGGTTGGTTCGCTCCATTAGCCTCAAGGTCTGCAGTCTCTGGAAAGCTCATTAGAGGCTGTGCAAAGCTTTAGCAGCCTCTCCTTCTTTCCTGTGTTGCAGCCTGGGGAGGAGATTGTGCCAAAGGACGCACATGGGAAAATCATTTTCGATGAGGTGGATCTCTGCACCACGTGGGAGGTGAGATGGCTCCAAAGAAGCCATGTTTCTGCACGTTGAGGGAGGGAGGAAGGACAAGGAAGTCAGGATAGGTGGGTTGAGTCTAATCCTGCCACCCGCCTGTCTTGACCTGGGCAGGTCCCTGAATGTCCCGCTGCCTCGGTTTCACATTTTGTGCATTTAATAGCTCAGTGAGTACTTATTGGGTGCTTATGATATGCCCAGTACTGAGTGTTTCTGAGTGTGTATCAGGCTACATGGTGGCTGGGCCTAGGCCTCTGGTCCCCTGGGGGGAAGTGTTGTTGTGTGTATGTGTGTCTGTGAGTCGGGGGCAGGTGGGAGACTAAAGCTAATGGGGGGAACTGAGGGTGCAGGGTGGGTCTGGGTCTCAGGCGGCAGCTGAAAGCAGAATGGGCAGGGCAGGGGAAGGCAATATCTGAGCAGACTGGCAGGCCCCGGAGAGGTGGCTGTGTGGATGGGTACTGGGAAGAGTGACACAGGCAGACCCATGGCCAAGGCACCGTGTCTTCGGCATTGAGGAAACAGCAGTGGCACGCGTGATGGGGACAGAGTGAGGCTGGGGGGCAATAATGGGAAATTGGGTCGGAGAGCACGGGGCCAGCGGTCTGGGGGGCAGCCCTTGCTCTTCCCATGCTGCACCCGGCCTTAATTCCTGCTCTCCTAGAGCTTGCTGTGCAGGGCTTCAATCACGTTTTTCTAGGTGTTGAGCCAAAGATCGCAGGGGCTCCCTTAGCTCTGTCCTGGCCACTTGCATTCTTTCTTACTCTATCTTCTTAGCCACTTTTTATTTTTATTTCCATTCTCCTCCTACTTGTCAGTTCCTATCTTAGGCATTGGCATTTGCACCTTTGGAGACCTTCTGTCTCTTGCTGTGTCTCACTCTCCCCCACTCTCCACTTGCTACCATTCATTAGCTTCCTTACTGGTTACACAGGTCACCCCTCACCACTGTTTCCTCCCCAGGCCCTGGAGAAGTGCAAAGATGCGGGTCTAACCAAGTCCATCGGGGTGTCCAATTTCAATCACAAACAGCTGGAGATGATCCTGAACAAGCCAGGCCTGAAGTACAAGCCCGTGTGCAACCAGGTGAGCCACTGAACCCCTGGCCTCTTCTCCCTCCTCCCCACCTTATCCTTCCCTCATTTCAGCAAGTTCAGCAATGGTGCTCTGTCCTGTTTTGGTACCTTTGGACATCAGCTGCTTCAAGAGAACAGAATGTATTTCATGTTGCTGAGACAGTTCCCAAGGCCATGTCACTTTATAAAAAACATCTAAGAGTCATGTCAGAGTATAACCTACTAGGTGTTATGGTGGTTGGTCCCAGAAATTTAGAGCTAGCAAATTATTGACTTTTCTACTCTCATAAAAAGTCAGTAGAGTAGGAGCACTCCTGTCTAAAAGGAAATGGGCAATTCCTCTCTAAGTATAACAGCTCTTTTGAATTATGTCATGAAATGACCAGAGACTCCAGATGTCACAAAATCACTCCCAATGTGAATGTACTTAATGCCTGATGTTGTGTATTTAGAAATGACGAATTTGTTATGCATATTTTACCACAATAAAAATTAAATTAAAATTAAAAATAAAAATAAGGTATCTCCTTGTTAAGATAAACCCACTTTAATGAGCAAGACATGAATGTCCCTGTATTGGAGAATCATGAGAGGAAATGAGTAGAAGAGTGAGTGGGGACACCTCCATGCTGCCCAGGGCCCGCATGTCCCCCGGGGCCATTTCCTTTGCAATCTTTCACATGCAGACTGAGAGAGGACGGTGTCAATCCAAACATCAAATATCAGTGAAGTTAATTTTTTCCTTCATTTAGTTGAAAAAATAGGAGTTCTAAGAAGTTGTATTTTGGGTCCCTTAGGAAGTTTGATCTCCACTTTGGAGATCACCAGTGGAGAGAAAGGAAAGAGAACTGGTTTTGATGGGAGAGGTGGTGAGGAATTGGGGAAGAAGCTGGATATCACCCAGAGCCCTGGAGAGTGCCTGCAGCATGGCCACGGAGGCTGCCTGCTGGGGCAGTCTACAGGGCACCAGGCACAGGAAAGCTTGCACAGAAGTTTAGTTAATTGTGAATCTGTGTAGTGAACAGGGAATTGTGAAGATTAGTTCAGAGTCCAGGCATGGTTCTAATCCCTGAATACAATAAAAATGCAGGACAAACTGGAAATCAACAGCTCTTATTAGATTCATTAGAGAACTGAGGCCCCAGGGCAAGCCACTGTCCCCAGAATTAGAGAGACAGACAGGTAGATACAGAGAATAATACTCACTGGAACAGAACCCAGGAACTAAAGCTGTGGCTGGAGTCAGTTCCAGGCAGGAAACCACAGCTGAAGGCTCAGCATGGGCAAGCGTGAGCATCAACCATCCCAGGGGCTCAGCTATGGCAGGGGCCCCACCTCCAGACGCCCTGACAGGTTTCCACAGTAAAGACTGGAGGGAAATCCCCTTCTGCTCTGGCAGGGATAGAGGAAATATGCAATCTGATAAACAGAGTATTCGGTTTTTCTTAAGGCCTCTCCCTATTAGGGTATGTGGGTCAACGGGTAATGTAATCCAGAAATGATTACACTACAGAGTAACTACTTGGGGTTTTACTTGAACCTCATCTATGTGGTGGAAGGAGAAATACCCAGTTCCAGCCCAAGAATCAACAATGGAGCTGAGCTGACACCAGACCTCCCAGCCCATGGCTAGGACAATGGTCTTGACCCACATATCATCTGGATAAGAGAGCAGAAAAAGAAATGGTTAAAATTCTGTGTAAAGGTCCCGGATTTCTTTCTCTGCATGTGCAAAGAAGTAAGAAAGATGGAAAGTAAGATCATAGCACCACTCAATATCTTTTAGGACACAGAAACTGCTCTCACATATAATGTATCAATGTCATAACACTAATGACAGTTTCTGACTAGTAACAACGAGCAGTCTATTTCTAGAATCTATTTCTGGATTGAAGACAAAGGGGCAAGAAGCATTTCCCAGTCCCTTTCCGTGTGGGACAAAACTGAGCTTGGGAGGCAGATGGGAGAAATAATGTAGAGTAGGGGGTCCTTACATATCAAGCAGACATTATAGTGGGATGTGATGGAATGAGGAAAGCATTATTTCTGGACCCCATGGGTGGACTGATGAACAAGCTCAAATTCAGCAGTGTTGAGAAGAGACAAAGGAAAGGAGGGCTGAGAGCAAAAGACCCAGAGGCAGAGATTGCTGCTTGGGTTGCACAGCAGCATATGCAGAAGATACAAGGGAAGGATACCACTGTGCTTTCCAGTCTGAGACAGAGCATGCTGACACCAGCCTGAACTGGTCCTCCACGAGCATTGAGCTCGTTATCTGATGCCACTGTGCTATCTCTGGGCAGAGTCCAAAGGTGAGCCTCTGGGAGCACCACTGGCACAGCTGTGGACTAGAGTCACGTGTTAGCCCATGTTGCTGGTATTCCTAAGCACTGATGATGCCATGCAATACAGCATCATGTGTTCCTCATACATTTGGTGTTGGTGGTCCTACAGTCCAACCCTTCTGCTTGGAATTCTGCAGGTGGAATGTCACCCTTACCTCAACCAGAGCAAACTGCTGGACTTCTGCAGGTCCAAGGACATTGTCTTGGTTGCATACGGTGCCTTGGGGTCTGACTCAGAGAAGGAATGGTAGGAATCCCCATCAGGTTATTCTAATCAGAGACGCTGTACCTTCCGGATCATTTCCTGACTGTCTGGGGGGAAATTAAGGATAGACTGAGAGGATTCATCTTAGTAACTCTTTGCCTAGCCTATGTTGTAGGGACTCAATAAAACATTATTGAATAATAAAATTACTGACCAAAACATTCATACAATTCAGATGCTCTGGCTTTAAAGAACAAAAAAATGAGCCTAAGCTTCAATTTGACACTTAGTCGTTGAGTGATATGAGACCAAGAGGAATTAGAAATATGCACCTTTCAGAACTTAACAAAACTGAGATCATTGAAAGCATTTTTTTGAAATAACACATTCTGGTAAAATAGTTGGGTTTTTATCATGGTGGTTTGGGGGTCTTAGTTTGGAAGACAATTTTGCCTTCTTGATTTATTCAATCTTTTACTAATTTCTCATAAGCTTTTTTTTTAAAGATGGAAAAATGTCTCAGTTTCTCTTTCTTCCTTACTCTCTTTTCCTCCTTTGGATTTATCAAAAGAAGCAAAACAGATGCTGAGACAGCTAGGGGTAATAAGGGAGACTCTAAAGGCTTAACTACCCCTCGCCCTAGAGAGCACCTCTCAGGAAAATAGGTATACAGCCTCAGACACAGACCTTCCTTGCCTCCTCCCAGGGTGACCAAGGACAGCCCAGTTCTCTTGAAGGATCCAGCACTCAATGCCATCGCTGGAAAGCACAGGCGAACTCCAGCCCAGGTTGCCCTGCGCTACCAGCTGCAGCGGGGGGTGGTGGTCCTGGCCAAGAGCTTCAATGAGAAGAGAATCAAAGAGAACTTCCAGGTACACAGCAGGGCTAGGGCATCAGGAAACTAACAGAGACCCTTCATTTCTCCCTGGGTGAGTCCTCTGTGAGATAGATTTGGGCAAAGCTTATCTCCTCACCTACTCCTTGCTTAGAGTGCTGTAGTTAACTGTTCTGTCCTCCTATCTGCAAGGTGGGGATGTGGTGGTTGGAGGAAAGCCAAACACAAGATCAAGTCTGGGTTTCAATCCTCCTTTCTGATCCAGTAGTATAGCCGTGGGCAGATCATCCCCTGATTTCTGTACCTCCAAAATAGAGTTAGATGAGATAAGATTTGGGCTCAAAACTCTAGCATCCCTTTGCTACAACTGCACCCACCTAATACAGGTCTGTGAGGGGGATCTGAACTGCCAGTCTCAAATGCCTCAACAGTCTGATTCCCATGTCTTTTGCAGGGAATGAACCCCAGATTCACAACTGCCTTATAAAACCTACATAAATTTTTGTGCCTGTGGCTGGGGTAGGGGAGTGGGGGGCAGCAACTGCCTCTAGGAAACTGGATTGATCTTCTCACCTTTATCACAGGTTTTTGATTTCCAGTTGACACTGGAGGATATGGAAACTCTAGATGGCCTGAACAGAAACATTCGCTATTTTGAAGACAAGTTGTAAGTAGCTGGTTCCATCGTAGGCAAAGGGGAGCAGGACAGCGAGGAGATTCAGTTTCTCCCAGTCCTCAAAGGGATTTCCTCTTCTTTCAGGAGTCTTGGGAACAACACAGGTTTTCTTCAGCTCTCAGACCCTTTTCACAGTCACTTGAATGTCCCCTCTCCTTACCCTGCTTATGTTCCAGGATTAATCAATATAGTAACACTGTGCTATTATAGCACTTCTATGATATTACATATACCCTCAGCTCTAGCCCCTCTCTGTCTCACTCATGTGTCTGAACAAAGCCTGGTGAAACCCATTCTCTGCCAGCATCGTCAGTGTTTCCTCCCCATGAGACTGCTCCCACGGGCATTCAGACATGCTCTCGCCTTTTAAAAAGTCCTCTCTTGAGCTGCTTCACTCTCTAGCCACAACCCATTTCTCCTTTTATAGAAACACTTCTCAAAGAAGTCTGTACTTGCTGCCTTCAGTTTCTCTCATCTCATTCTCTTTTGAACCCACACAAGTCAGGCATTTGCTTCCCATTTGGCCAAAACCTTTCCTCCCAAGGCCAGCCATGACCCTGTCTTTGCTTAAAGCAGCAGTGATTGGCTTTCATCTTATTTTCTATCCTAGAAGCACTTTCTCAGCCAGCTTTACTGCTGATCCTGTCCCCCTCATCCCATGGCCATTCCTTCCCATGTTCCACGCAGGCTTCTTGCTGCCTTGACCACTTAACTTTGGGGTGACCTAAAGTCCAACCCTTGCACCTCTCCTGTGTCTATACCCTCATCCTTGGTGATTTCATCTTGTCTCTTTGTATTAAACATCATCCCTATAGACTCTCAAATTATACTCAGCCCAGCCCTTAATCCTGACCAAGATTTGTGTGTTCTGTACTTAGCTCTGCCTGGATGTCTAAGAAGCACCTCAAACTTATCTCGGTTGAGCTCATGCTGGTATCTGAAGACCCCCACCCCATGTACCATATGCACTCACGTCCAAGTCTTCCTGGTCAAGTCTGTTCTTCCTGCTTCCATGCTATCTCCACACACAGTAGCCAGAGTGAATGGGTTCCACATAGACTTCATCAGCCACTCTTCCATTTGGTATCTGGCAGCCTGCCCATTCACTCAGAGTGAAGGCCAGATTCCTTACTGTACTTACAAGGACCGTGAGGATGCCTCTTCCCCCCATTCTGTCCCTACCTCACATCCCAGCCCTCGCCCTATTCTGACTCCAGTGCAGCCTCCTTGCTGTTCACATATATGCTGGGGCTGTCTCTGGGCCTTTTCACAGACTGTTCGATCTGCCTAGATAGCTTTCTCCAAGTAGCTACATGAACACTCTTTCACCTCCTTCAGATCTTAACTGAGATGCCACTTTGGTCCTACTTTCTCTGTCACTTTATCTAAAATGCAGCTCAGCAATCCCTGTCTTTTTCCCTTGGCACATATCCTTAATTGCCATTCCATATAGTCTGCTAATTTATTTGGTTTATTTTCTGCTTACACCATTAGGATGTCAGACTCTTAGTGCTGGATTTTTTCAAAACTATTCTCTCCTTGAGTAATTAATATGTATTGGTTGAATGAATAATATGATAAGATGATAAAGGAGGAAAAGTAAGGAGAGCAGACAGCAATCCTGAATAATTAGTAACAGTAATAATTATTCAGTGACTTAGCATTTTCTATCTTGAAATAATTACTTTATATAGACAGGGTTTACTCTCCTTGCTCCAATGGAAGCCCCTGATGACTTATATTATAATCACCGTATCCATCTCTAGGTCTAATGTATAATTTTTCACCTAGTAAATTGCATGTTACTTCTGAGTGCTTGAGAGAAATTCGACAATATTATTACCTTCCTCCTCATCGCTTTGAAATATTTGCTGACTTTATATATTCAATCAGATTGGCATTGTTTTAAGAGGCAGAATTCACTTGGGAGTTTAAACTATCAATATAATTTATCTCAAGTTGTAGATAATGCACCTGCCAAAAATGAATATATTGGTTTATTTTTATATATGTGCTCATGTGTATGCCAGAGTATTTATTTTGTGATGTACTCATTACAGTACAATGCATAGGACAATTATACAACTGATTGGATTTGAACCTGTCCAAAGACAAGAGTACATTAATTTTCATACTTGAGCCGTTTAAAAGGAAGCTTTTTTTTCTAGCTCAGAAACAGTGACTTGACTGACTCTTCCTTTCCCTTTTAGGTTTTATAGTCATCCAAATTATCCATTTTTGGAGGAGTATTAACAGCAGTGTCTGTGGTTGCTCCAGTTTTTTTATTTTGATTTTGCTTGGTGATTGACAAATGTCTCATGGATGAGAAAGTATCTGGTTTATTCCATGTTGTTTAGCCTTACCAATCACAATATGGTTCAAGTTCCTGGATCAGACAATAGAAGTCTCTAAACTCAGGCTTTTCTGCCAAGAGTACATACATAAAGGTACATTTTAAACTACCTAACCTACCACTATGGCTCTTTTGTTTTGTTCCTGTGACACTTAGCGTTAAAATGCTGGCATCCCTGGATGTTCTAGGGGTATGGCTCTCCCAAGATAGAATCAAATCAGCAGGTGCCCAGCTGCCCTCCTGGCTGAACAGCCAGTGAGCTTGCGTGTCAGCAGGCCCTGGTGTCTCCTGGTGGCAGGCATAGCTGACAGCTTTGAGTCAGGCAGGAGAAAAACCCTGAGGCAAGTTATTCAGGACTCCTAGCCAAGTGTCTGCCTACTTGCTAATGTGCATCTGTAACACCAAAACCGGGGGCAGGGGAACCTCCATGTGGGGGCCAGCAGTGGCTCACTGGCAGTGTGGTTCCCAGCCTGCCAGCCCCATGGCCACACGGGGAATCTGGGCCAGGCAGCCTCAGGAGCAGATGGCAAAGCTCCTGACTCTGTGGCCCCCAGAGGCCTGGCTTAGGGACCCCCCAGCTCATCTTCTGCAGAGGCACCACAGTTTCCCAATGAAGGGGGAGGTGGTGGTGGCAGCTCAGAGTCCTGGGTGCATCTGCAACAGCAAGAAAAGAGCCTCACAAACTGAAGGGAGTGGGGGATGGTGAAGAAACTGGCAGAAAACAAATCAGTGCAGGTGGCTGAGGCTCAGGCGTCCATTAGCAGAGGGTGGGCCAGGCCTTTGCCACCAGGCACCATCCTGCCACAGCAGAGTCCTGTAGTGTCCCTTGCTCTGGATTTAGAGTGCAGTCACATCAGGCTGGCCCCGTGGCCTCAACAATCCTGTGAGGTACTGGGATCACCCCACCTAACAGGTAGGGACACTGAGGCACTAGAAGGCTGAGGAATCTGCCCAGGACTCCAGAGCTAGAAAGTGATGGCTGCCATTCCACCCTGGGCCTCTAGACTTCCCCAAGGGATCGGGGATAAGATGGAAAGAGACACCACGTGGAGGCCAGCCATCCCCAGCCAGATGCCTGCAGCCATTGGGCAACAAGAGTACTCTGGCTCCCTCCCTCCTCCAGGCACCAGGCCAGGCCTCACACAGTAGGCTGAGGTGGGGACCAGCTGGGGCAGAAGCAGAGTCCTAGAGGCAGGCTGGCTGAAATGGTGGATGTACTGAAGGTCACCTCGCCAGAGACTGTGCTGGCAGGGGAACAGGACTGGGCCAGAGACTGGAGGCACAGGAGAGCAGGGAGGCCTGGGCGGAGCTGGAAGCCACTGCGAGGCCCCCAGACCCCTCCTGATTCAGTGAGTCTGAACATCCTGAACACTGAGGGCACAGGGGTGATCCACACTTGGTCTACAATTTGGTGTGTCCACGGATATAATTTGACTTCCCAGGAGGTTTTATTACAAGGTAGCATTTAAAAATTAGAACTTAGGTTTTAAATAAGTTTCCACGTTTCACTGAGACACTGCCCCACTTTCACCTGCTTTCCCTCCCACGTGTGCAGGTGTGGCTCTTGCTTCACAATCCCCTGGGGGACAGGGACAGGGGAGGGCAGGTAAGGTAAACCAGGCACGCTGGTAAGCGCTGCAGCCAGTTCCAGTGCAGACATGCACTATGCTGGGTCAGCTCTGGCATATGTTACAATATTTCATAATACATTTTTTTAAAATGCAAAGGCAAGAATTCCTGAGTCATCAGAATCTTCTTTTCGAGAGTGCAGGCCACAAAGCATGTCTCCTAAGAACCCCCCCCCACAGATGCTCCAGGGACCTCAGGGCTTGCATGGGCTCTCTGTGGAGGCCATCAACCCTCTGTGATCTCTTGACGCTTCCCTTATCACTTAGGCTGCACTTGGCTGTGTGGATTTCTCAGGGAACTCGGCTTCTGTTCCAGGCCGGAGTCCTTCCCCCCAAATCAGACCTTGTCCCTCCCATCCCTGTCCACTGCTGCCCCGCCATGGGTAGCACAGAGGCGGGCAGACAGGTGTTTCAGACAGGGGATCCGTCCGGGCGGAGCTGAGGAGGAGAGGAAGCCATCCTCAGTACTCTATGCTGAAAGGATAGTCCTTGTGGTTTACAGCTCTGAAAAACAGAAAAACAGTCAACAATAGAAACAAAGAATGATTATTATTTTTAAGAGAAACATTACAAAAGATACAGTTACATATTTTTTAACTTCCTAGTGTACTAAATTGATTTTTGGAGTCATTCAGTGGCCCACCCTCAAACAGGAGAGAATTAGGAGAAGGTCTATTTAACCTAAACATACGTAATCAACACTTATTTGGGAACCCATCAATCTGAATATTGCTCCCTTTATTTTGAAAGGAAGTTAAAGAGTCATATTTACATGGGAAACGTGGCCAATCGGAGATTCCTGTTCAGGCTGAGGATGTCCTCCACATCCTGTTCTGATAATTCAAAATCAAACACCTGGAACCAGAAATAAATGTTCATAGGAAATTTAGTTCAGTGAGCACTTAGTGGGACATGTGTTAGACTGCTGGGGACACACATGTCAACCACTCACTAGGTGTGACACCCCACATGTCCCTGAGTATCCACCTATTCCCAAATGCACATAGGCTCTGACGGTTTGCCCCACGCTGGCTTAGCCTGGTTGGTTCAGGCCAGGGACACTCAGGCAAGTGCCACACTCGTCCCAGGAGCAGGGGACCTACTGCAACAGGTAAAGGTGAAGCAAGGAATTTTTCCCACTGCTCAAAACAAGCAAAGAAACCTCCAAATTTAACCAAAAACATTTGTTCCACAAGCGCCACCAGCCAGGGAGACATGGAGCCCCAGGGCCATGAACTCTGACAGTGCTCTTGGCAGAGTGAGTTTTATGTCTGCTCCTCCTCAAATAGTCCTTGAAGCTGCCCCCCACTTTTTTGCCCCTAACATTTGAGGAATGTGACCCACTCCTAAAATAAAGAGAGCCAACCCTGAACCACAGTTGAGGAGATGGGAAAGAAGGTGCAGAGTGACTCCAACATGCCCCTGGAGGGGACAGGCCCCGGGGCCCCAGCCTCCCCCACAGAGGGCCCTCCACCCCAAGTCAGCACCCAGCCTCCCCCACGGAGGGTCCTCCACCTCAAGTCAGCACCCAGCCTCCCCCACGGAGGGTCCTGCACCTCAAGTCAGCACCCAGCCTCCCCCAAGGAGGGTCCTCCACCCCAAGTCAGCACCCAGCCTCCCCCACGGAGGGTCCTCCACCCCAAGTCAGCACCCAGCCTCCCCCACGGAGGGTCCTCCACCCCAAGTCAGCACCCAGCCTCCCCCATGGAGGGTCCTCCACCCCAAGTCAACACCCAGCCTCCCCCACAGAGGATCTGCCACCCCAGGTCAGCAGGAGTCCAGGATTCAGCATCCACAGCAGCTCTGACTGCAGGGGAGCCTCTGGGTCAATTCTGAGGGGTACCCACAGTTGAGGTCAGGGCCACTGGGGGGTAGGTGAGCAGGTGTCTGGCTGGCACCCTAGCCAGCTCACTGCCTCTCCTTTTCCCTGTTTTATCTTGCTTGCCAGCTCCAGGCTGGGGAAGCCCATCTGGGTGCGTGGGTTCCCCCCAACCCCAATATGGCTGACACTTCCTCCTGCCTCTGCTCTGTCAGGGCCACAGAGGGCCAGACCTGTTTGTTACAGGGGTTGGCCCCCCATTGACACATGATCCCACACCCTCTGATGTAACAGGAAACACTTCCCTGGATATTCTCAAGAATCCGTGCTGGGGTGGTAGATTTGGGAATCACGATCACATTCCTCTGGATCTGAAATCGGATCAAAATCTGCAGGAAAAAAGAAGTCTGGTATTAGACAAAGGGAAGTCACCTGGAGATGGACTCGGCTGTTTTCCTCAGTCACGTCTTATTGTGCAGTAAAGTCCAAAACTTAGCAACAGCCAGAGCTTTGACCACAAGCTCATTCATCTGCATGTCTTTTAGGAGACAAACTGGCGTTTTCTGCACTGTTCTCCAGAAAGTGCCCTTGGCTGGCCAGAGGCGCAGCTCCCAGGACATGATGATCCTTAAGAACTCATTGGCATGGCATGCCCCCGAAACACTGGCCATTGGAGCAAGGCAGAGGCTCATCAGCTCACCCCTGCTGGTGGTGGGGGCCATCTGGCCAGTGGCCCCACTGGGCCTGGACGGGCTGAGACAAGAGCGTGGCCTGCATGAATGAACATGGACCCCGATGCTGGTGTCCTAGTCGGTCATTGGCTTGTCCACAGTGAGGGACCCCTGCCCCCGCTGGTCCCTGCTTGGGGGAAGAGGTGGTGCCAGCCCCAGTGGGCCCCACCACCTACCTGAGCTGCAGACTTCCCGTACTTCTGAGCGATCGTCTGGATCATGGGGTCATCCATCAAGTGAACCCCCTGACTAGAGAGAACACGAGGGCAGGGCGATGAGGCCAAATATGGGAGCTTCCTTCTTTAAAAACACAAAGCTTTCTCCAAAATGGAAAATCTATATTTATTTTTGTCTGATCATAAGTTGCTCAGTGTAGTAAATTTAAATGATGCAGAAAAGCTTATCACCCAAACCCTACCACCTAGAGATAACCACTTAAGTAAACACTTTGGGGGACACAGCTGGACACACCACTTTTCAGGTGCTTTTCCTCAAGAACTATGAGGCATCTTCAGAGTGTAGGGGACGATGGGCTTTGTGCGCTTCAGCCACTCTGACATTTAAAGGCTGGCTTCTTAGTTGGACCCAGAATAGTGCCTACAGTCCCATTAATAAGTAATTGTTGATGATGATGATAATTTCATAAAAGTTCACCTCAAATAAAAGTTGAGATCATGCACATGTGGATCACTAAGCAGAGAATTAAGGACAGGACCATGGCTCAAGCCCTCAGTGTCTGTCCAGCAAGGGATAGGCCCTGATCACTCGGGAGAGCCCCGTTCTCAGTGAACATTTATTAAACAGGTACTGTTTCAAGCACTGGGCTGGCAACAGTGCTCAGTGCATTCTGGAGGAGACAGGGAGCCCGCATCACCTGCTGCGTGCCCAGGGTCTCCACCAGCCCTGCACTCCTTCTCACTGGCTCCACAGCTTCAAGCTCAGCTGTGGAATATGACCTAGCTTCTAGCAATTCCCTAGCAGCTACCAAGTTCAAACACATGTGCCCAATTTCCTGTGGGGAACACACAGGTAATAACAAATACTTTGGCTCTTCTGGGCCCACCTATGTCCCAGGCACTGAGACAGGGGCTGGTGGAGAGGCATGAACTAGATGTGTTCCCCACACTCCAGCAGTTCTGATGAGTGGGAGGGACTAAGGCGAAAATAATGGCAAGATAGTATGTCAAAATACTGTGGAAAAAACCTGAACCCGGAGAGTCAAGAGGGCTTTCTGGATGAGGTGATGCTTTATTGAGCTTTATGTTAGAAATTGGAGTTAGTGAGATTAAAATGAAGATAATGACAAGACTTCTAGGAAAGAGAACAGTATATGCAAAGGCACAGAGACTAGAAAGAAAACATTCTGTCCCAGGAACCTGACACAATTTCCAATGGCTGATGCATACATGGTTTGAAGGAAGAAGTAAGGCCAGAAATAGGCATAGCCCAGGCTAGCCAGGACTCCCAGGCCATGCCAAGCCCTGAAGGCTTTTTCTGGAAAGTGACATGAAGGTGTTGAGAGGTTCCCTTCTGCTCCCATGTGGACAATGAACTTGAACTGGGCAAATCTAATTGCTATAATCACCAGAAAGAATTCTTATTTAACCTAGGCAGTGATGGTGAGAACGACACAGAAAGACACACTCCAAGTTTTTTGGCAGAATGACTAGCAGCTCTTGCTGATAGCTGGCTTGGGGAATTGAAGAGGGGTGACTGCTGAGTTCCTGGTCTAGGCGGCTGAGTGGCAGCAGCTTGTTGGCTGGTGCAGGGAGCACAGAGCACCGGCTGGGTTCTGGGGAAGACTGGTGTGTGGGGCTGGAGCTCTACAGAGGCCGAGTAATCCATGAACCACCTGGGACAGTGGACCAGTTGGGGCCTCGACGCTGCAGTCATTAGCTCAGTGCAGAGGTCGCCTCCAGTGGGATGTCTGGTAAAAGGTCCCTGCCCTTCTTGAGGGAGCCCCTCTGGCTCCCAGTATGGCTCCCTCCCACAGCCCACAGGTCCACTGGCAGCAGAGGTGGTCTCTCCACACCTCACCATCTTCCTTATACCCTCCACTAACTCCCCAAATCCAACTTCCAACTGGAGCTGCTCTGTTTCCCGCTAGGGCCTCGACTCACAATCACTGGAGCTCCCTACCTGGAACCGCCAAGGGGCCGGTAAGCAGTTACAGACACATCTCTGGATTGGCAGAAGCTGATCAGTTTCTCCTGAGTGAGGTATGGGTGGCACTCAATCTGCAAAGAGAACCAGCCACAGCTTACCACGGCTGAGTGGGGCCAGCAGGGCCCCAGGAAAGAGTGCCGGCATTGCTGCTGTGGCTGCTCCATGGAGCTCTGTGCATCAGCTCCCGGCTCCAGCATCTCTGCCCATCAGATGAGAGGCTGGACTCCTCCACCATCGCCAGGATGCCAGCTGACACAGGGCTGGGGAACACCTTGGTAGATGCTCCCACCACCTTCTGTTTGTTTTCCTTTAGCACAAAGCATCATGTGACATCGCAGGCGGGGTAGCTACTCACTGCTGTCTGTCTGCAGCCACTAGGACGTGAGCTGTGGGAAGCCACTGCCTCTGGCCTGTTCTGTTCACAGACATCTCCCCAACATCAGGAAAAAGCTGGGCCCATGGAAGGACTCCCTAAGTATCTGTGGAGTGAATGAAGCTGGGGAGCTCCAGGGCAGACATGTTACAGGTGACTCCAGTGGGTGTAGTAAGCAACTCAGGAGCAGGATTCCCAGCTCTCTTACATTCTCCAAGTCCCTTCTCCTGTGCCTGTCCCACTGGTTTGTAGACTTAAGTCCTCATGTAGAGTGGATTAAGAACACACACAGTGCCTTTGCAGTTCAGGAAAAACTGCAGTGCAGTGGAAAGAGGACACTGGACTTTGGAACTCCCTGCGGGTGTCACTGCCCAATTAGGAAACAGGCCCTCCTGCACCACCTCAGGCACCCACCCTCCCTGCGATTTAAAGTGCTACACAACAAAAGGTGGAGTGGGGGCTCCTCTGCACGTTCACAGACTGTCACATGAGGCTTTAAAGCAAGAAAGCAAGGTTTGCTACAGCTGGCAGTAGGGGCTCTCTGTGCGGGTGGGCCTAGAAGTGCTTCTAGAAGGCTGGGGGTGTTGTTTCTGTCTCTGGGTGCTGAACACTCAGTATGCTCACTTGTGGAAGTTCACTGAGCTATGACCCTTCCAGAGTCATGCACTTGATCTATGCTATGCCTCAATTACAAAGGTTACTTCTAAAGCATAGAGCTTTTTCTATGCTCTATTCTTAGTATCCCCAAACTTGAAACTTCCTAAGTGCCCATTAACATGGGATTGGATAATAAACTGTGGGAATACCACATGAATGTGGACAAATCTAACAAATATGATGTTGCATAAAAGAAGCCAGATGCATGAGAGCACGTAAGACATTATTTCATATACGTAAGTTCAAAAGCGGTCCATGCTGGCTGCTGTTCTTTGCCTTACAGAGAGTGGCAGGCTTCCAGGGGCTGGTCTTGTCCTGCTTCTTGACCTAGATGCTGGATACAGAGCTAGGTTCAGCTGGTGAGGATTTACTAAGCTCCATTTTTCTGTGTGCTTTTTCATATGTACACAAACACTTTAACCAAAATTTTATATAATGCAAAAATGCCCTTTCCCCATGCACAGCCAGCCAGCTGGGAAGACACAGCACCCTCTCCTTATAAGTCGTTTCTCTGCACCCACTTCAGCGGTCTGTGAGTCTGCCCTGAGGGTCAGTCAGGATCCAGCACTGCAGGTTGCAGTCTACAGGGGCTGGAGACAGAGGAGAGGGCTCCCTGGGCCTCCCCAGGAAGTTGCATGCCTTGGCCTTTGAGCTTCTCATTAGCTAGGGCAGAGGTGTGTGCTGGGACATTTCCCCACTTCTGAACACACCTGGTGAACTACACCCAGCTCAGGCCCCACCTGCCATGGGTACCACCTACCCAGTCAGGCCTTTAAGCCAGGCCTCTGCCTACGCATCACTGCCTCACTGCTCTAGTCACTGCAGCAAAATGCCAACTTGGTGCTCCACCCTTCCCTCCATTTCCAGTATAGCCGTGTGGAGGTAACAATGGAACAGTCAACTCCACAGTGAAAGCCTCTTAGCTGTTAACCAGCTCACCTGGTTAGTCACCGGCTTGAACCTCAAGTTGGGTTTATTCAAAAGTCTCTCAAGCTGCTCGTGGTTGAAGTTGGACACCCCGATGGCTTTCACCAGTCCTGCAATGACCAGGTCCTCCATGGCCTAAAGAGGACAGAGATTTATTTTGGGCATATGGGTGCTGTCCACCCACTGGCAATCTGTGTCTCTCATTCCTTGGCATTCTTTTCTAAAACTGGTTCACAATAGTTCACGTGGTGCCTCATGAGCATTTCTGTACTTGAGGCTTGCTCCCGGTCAGGCCGCTTAGTGGGCGGGGCCTCAGTTTCCTCATCTGCAGAGCGAGGACGACCTTGCCCGTGCCACAGGGTCATTTCAATGACCCCATCACATGCAGCACGCAGAGCAATTAGCTGAGGCCTGGGATCGAGCAGACGTTCACCACCCTTCGGCTGTTACGGTTCCTTTTACTTGGAACACCTGTTGATCACAGTGTTTGGCAGGACATCCACTGTTGCCTTTATGAGCTCACCTCTTTCCACCTAGCTTAGTCTACTTAAGCACAATGATGTATCATCACCCTTCTAGTTAACATTTTCAGAGACTCAGGAGAAGCGCAACTCAAAGCTTTGTGCTGGTCACTGGCCAACGAGCTGGCCTGGACCTCAGGCTCATGAAGACGTGGCCTGTTGCCGGGGCGGGTGGTCAGCAGTAAGTCCTGACAGGCCCCAAGGGAGGGACCAGGGTCTGTGTGGACCCTCACCTGTGTTATACAAACAGCCCAGGTTAACCCATATCTTTAAGGAGAAGCAACACAGTGACAGAAAGGCTGCAGGCCCTGGGCCCTCAGCTAACCTATCACTGATTCACATGTTTTAAGAGAAATGGGAGGAGAGGATGGGCTGATTGGGGTCCCTCCTGGGTGGCTCCTCTCCCTGCTGCCTGGATGGCCCAGGGCACCCCTGCACCTGTACCCATCAATCTCCTGAATGGCCCAGGACATTGTCTCCTTAAAACAGCAAGCTCCACTTTGACCACATGTCCTCCCTGTGCCTCATGGTTGCCGCTTGCCCCCATCAGTCCCCTGCTGTGACCCTACACTTGCCTCTTTACCTCAGGCCCCATCCCTTCCTGGACTGCGGCAGTGGGCTGACATGCGGCCATCCTTCCACCAGGCTCCCCAGCCAACCCAACCTTACCATGCCGCCCATTATCGCCTGAAGAGCTGACAGTGTCAGCAGTGGTTACCGCTGAGAAATGAAAAAAGGGGCTGTTTGTATTCTTCTGTATTTTCTGTAATGACCCATGAAAATTTTAATCAAAAACCTAACATTTGAGAAGAAAGGGAGTTCTGAATTAGTAATCCCTAAAGCAAGTGTTTTAAGAGATGGCCCAACCAGGCCCATGCAGGCACTGCACAGCATCTGAGGCCACAGCAGGAATCATGCTGCCTCCTGCCGTGAGCCTTGAGTGTACAGCCTGGGGTCTCTGAATACAGAAAGCCTGAGGTCTGAATGGGAGGCATGCCAGCAGGATAGGCCCGGCTCAGGGCTCGGCTTACCTCCCATGTGTCCAGGAAGTCTGTGTCACTGGGTATGGCCAAGCCGCTGTGGTCCAAGGGCAAGTCTTTCTCCCCAGCCTGCAAAAACCGGAGGAAAAGGAGTTTACAGTGGAGTGGGTGGGAGAGGGCCAATGGAGGGAAGAGAGCTGCCCAGGGGTCAGGAGGTGGCGGCTTCCCTTCTCCCAGCTCTGGCCTTCCCCTTTACAATGCTGGTCTGGGACTGGAGGGCTGGCAAAGACCCTGCCAGCCTTCAGGGTCCCTGCCCACCTCTCACAGGACAGGAAGATTGTGAATCCTAGCATTGTCAGAAAACTATTTAGTGACTTTGGGTGGAAACTGGGGACCAGGGCCCTCAAGTCTTAAGAGCTCAAGGCCCTTCCCCCAAAGTCCATGGCTAGATCTTCTCTTCTTTTCTGTAGACAACCGCTGTGGTGGGAGATAATGAATTGTGGTGGGAGACAATGGTGGAAATTCATCCAGGCAGGGCACCTGCTGGTCACCTGACCCTGCAGAGCTCTGTGGAGCAGGCCACAGGGTGGACAGTGGATGGCAGTTTACTTAGGGACACCTAATCAGTCTCCTGAGCAATAGTGGGAGAATGTCTAAAATCACAGCCTGATGCACACTTCAGGGGAATTTTTCATGACGAACTGTTTTGCTCCAATGCTGGCTGCCAGTTGACATTCAGCCTGTGTACAAGTGCTTTCCCGGCCTGGCCAGGCCCTGGAGTCTGCTCTGCTGGTCAGCAGCCAGCACAGCAGGCCACAGCTCCTGGGGGTTGGGCTGAGGGTGTGCTGTCACCCCGGCACTAGGGACACGCCAAGGACTGTCCACCTGCTCTGGACTCCCTGCAAGCACTTAAGCTGTGTCCACTCTCATAATCACAAATAGGCTTCTGCTCTCATTTGCCCACTGATCCGAGGTGTCTCCTTTCCTACTTCCCAGCAGCCAACTGTAAGGGTCTGAGGAGTGAGAAGCAGATACCTGATCTGAGTAGCCGCCACTGGGACCATGAGAAAGTCCTTCTGGCCTCAGCTCATGGTATATTCGAGGGAGTCATTGACAGTACCGCCTTGGGGAACCATGTGAAGAATAACTGAGTTAATATGTGTAAAGCACCTAAAACAGTGCTGGTACATCTCAAAATAGTACTAACAGCTGATGATAAGCCCATTCTCATCATTTTAATAGCTATTAATGATAGCTATTACCATTATTTTATTCTTATTCTCTGAAAACACCAGACTCCAAAAAGACAAATTATTTCTGAATCATTGTCTTGCTTTATTTCCCGGGCATCTTCTGTTCTTGTTCTCTATTAATGTGACCAATGGACAATTACTACATTCTTTACTGAAACTAAATACAAGACTTTAAAGTAAAGCTGCATTACAATCAAGTGGCTTTTGTTGTTTAACCTATAAAGATAATGCACAGCTTGGCACATGCGGGGACAGCCTCATACCAGGCGCACACATGGCAGCTGCCCAGGCAGCAGGCACCCACTCCACCCCACGCAGAAGGGACACCCTCTCTGGGACTTGTGTCCTCCTGGGAGCCTCCTGGGTGACGGACGGTGTGGTCAGACAGGCTATCCTATCAGTCTGGGGCAGGTGTGCAGGACATCCTGGCCAAGACCAAAATGACACAGGCTGGGGGAGTAGGGTTTAAGGGACAGAGGGTTATTTTCTTCCATCAAGAGAAGAAAATAAAACCAGGTGAAGAAATCACTGGCTACCATAAGCAACAGGACCCTGTTTGAGGGAACAAGCAAATGACCTGCATCCTGCAAAGCAGAGGCCTTCCCCAAGGGAAACAGAGCCTACCAGGGAGACGGGGCCCAGGAGTGCAAGGGGATCTGGGAAGTGACACAAGCAGCAGCTATGAGCAGCAGGGTTTCCTGTTTGGAACCTATTTTCACCTTAAGACCTGCAGAAAAAACCAACATTCTCTGGCATTGGTTTGAACCATATACTTTAGAACAGTGAGGGTCTCGGGGAACCTGAGCCAAGGCCTGGAGATAACTGCATGTGCTGGGGGCCAATGAGCCCCAGCACCCTGTGCTCTGTCTGCTGGCCAAGTCCTTCCCACCACCTTCTGGGGGCACCAGGAGGAAGAGGCTGCCCAGGGGATATCTCACCACCTCCTGAATGGTACCTGGAAACCTGTGGGCCAGTGTATGAGGTAGAGGTCCAAGTAATCCAGCTTCAAGGCCTTCAGACTTCCAGAGCATGCCGTTTTCACCAAGGACTTCTTATGGCAGGTGCACCAGAGCTACAAGAGGACAGGCAGAAGCCCTGTCTCACGGGCCACAGAATGGAGCCAGATGGTTTCAGGACCCCTCAGGGAGGAGCCTCCAAAGTAGGCCCTTTCTGCTTGATTCCTATTAAAGGGAAGCTGGAAACACCACAAAATATTTGACGGGAGGGCTGCCTGGCTATTTTGGATCCACAGGGACAAAAAAGAATGAAAAAAAGCTGGAAAGGTGGAAAGGAGATGAGAAAAAATTGAAGAATTTCTCTGTTGTGTTTCCCATTTAAACAGACACATAGCAAAGGTTCTCTATTACTAAGGCCTCACCACCATTCAGGCTAAATAGGTAATTAAATGAAGTCCATTGTCTATGCCTGTTCAGATAGTTCCATCCATACCCTCCATTAATAGAAAATTTGTAATGTTTTCTTCTGTTACATTATTTATTATTAACTATAACAGAAGGCTCCATCACAGGAAGAGAAAAAAATGAAAGTCAGTAAAAGAAAGAGGATTACCAGATAAAAACAAACTACACAGTGTATTAACAAAACAGAAAAAAATGAGTAAACACTTCCTATGGTTAACAATAGTACTCTCCAGATGGTGAGTACTTAAAGTGATTTATTTTTTAAGGTATATTCCATGACTCTTCCATGTTTCAGGAATGAAAGCACACTTCCACTGCTGGCATGGCCTGTTCCAGAGCAACTTGTTCAATTGTGGGACTAGCCTTAGCGATCCTCTTAGTGATCCCCTTACCCAGCACCCCACCCTAGGGTTTCAGGAGAGGTTTCTCTCCTTGACCCAGTGCATACTAGGCCTCCCCCTTAGCAGCCTTCTGCTCTAGGTTTAGGCAGTGCTGATGTACTACAGAAATCACCTCAAAGTGAAACAGAGGAGCAAATCTGCAGAAACAACACTGAATCCTGCAATCACGGACCTTCAAATCTGGGAATCACTCACGAACCTATCAAATTCAGTCTCATTTTACACACAAGACCCTGCACCTTCCAGTGACTGACAGCCTCTCGGAGCTCAGAAAAATCGGCTGGAACCATGGCCTCTGGCCTAACGTCTTTGCATTCTGCTTCAAAGTCAAAAGCAAGGTGATTCTCTAACTCTCCAACCTTGGTCTACCCTGGAATTTCCTGGGGAGCCTGCCTCGAGTGTACTGCATGTGCGTTTCCTCCCTTCCACCTGTCTGCCACTGCTTGCAAGGCTGGCTTATCCTACACGTACACTGCTGTTAACCCAATCCTAACTGCCTCCTGTCAAATGCATGCCTCTTTCAGCTGCTACAATCACCCACTCACAAGTGAGTGTAGCTCATACAAAATAAGCTCCCTGCTCAGCAACCTTCAGCAGTGCCCCTGTTGGCAGGAGAAGAGTAAGCCCCTTCAATGGCAGCCCCACGCCAGCTCAGAGCTCACTGCTCTCTGCTGCCTTACAAGTTTCTATCAAGGACACCATGCCTCGCAGGGGCCCTGTACCCAGTGCGCTGTCCCATGCCTCGTACCTGTGCTCAAGCTGTACCCCCTGCTTGCCACGCTGCCCCTGAAGCTGCACCATGGCCAGCCGGTGCACGATGCTGCAGGAGTCCTGTGGGTCAGCTTCAGGAACCAAGGTAGCCCCGGCGCCCGCACTGCTTCAGCTACCGCACCCAAGCCCACACTCTGCAACCCGCTCCAGCCTGTGAAGTCCTACCTTGCTGACGATAAACAGGTCCTCCCGCCTCACAGCACCTTCCCTGATCTTGCACTGGATGCCAGCTCCCACCTCGCTCTCATTGTGGTAGAAGTAAGCACAGTCAAAGTGGCGATAGCCCCCATCTATGGCTACTTTCACCGCCTCCGTCACCTCCCCTGGAGCCGCCTGCAAAATGAACAGGGCAGAGGTAATCGACCGGCATTCTGCTCTAGATCCCCTTTTCAACCCAAATCCTCCCTTTCACTCTAGAATGTAGAGCAAAGAATACATAAAAAATGCAGTTGCTGAACTGGTACTAGCATCAATCGGCCCGCAAATTTAGGAAAGTCAGAGTCAGAAAGGGCTTATAGATTAAGTTCCAACTCTTTTATTTATTTGGGGCTAAGTCTACAGGTATTTTTAGTGCCTGCCAGTTGCTGTACTTCCTGAATGAGCAAAGGAATAAATAAAATGTAGGACAGATAACAACTGAGATTCAAGGAGGTAAAGACGCATCCTCTACACGCAAAGACCGAAGTCCAAGTGGAAAGGCCAAGAGTACACTCACAAGGACAATCCATCGTATGTGGAGCACCTGACCAGATCCAGAGGAACAGTATGCATTCTATTGGGGATGTGGAAGTTGGGTGAAGAAAAGCAAAGGGACTGGAACTAGGGGTGGAAGCTTGGGGAGGCTCCCCCTGTCATTAAGCAGAACATTCCTGAGGGGCGTTGTGGTTCACAAAGCACTTTCTCACTTGAACTTCACATAACCCCATGAGATGTAGTAGGACAGTGACCTTTATTTAACAAGCAACAGATTCAGAGCGGCTGTGAGCGAATGAACCAGGTATCCATCTGAAGCTGGAAAAAGAACCACCAGGAAATTAGAAGGGATGAAAATAAGAATGAGTACTGAACAAAGATACGATAGAGATCTACAAAGCCAGAGGTTAGTTTTTTCGAAAATCCTTAAAAAAGCAGACATTCTCCTGACAAGACTTGAAAGACCAATTTTATTAAGTGACCTGAATAAAATGCAGCATATTCAGATAAAAATAGACATTCAAAATCTAAGAAAATATCAGTAATATAATCCAACAATGTGGAAAAAAAAGAAACAAAATGGAAAAACTCCTAGAAAAACTTATCGTGAAATAAAAGCTGAATTGTCCAATAATTATTTTAAAAATGAAGCAATTAGGTAAACACACACAGAATTCCACAAAAATTTCAAGAAAGAAATCATCCCAATTTGGACAAGAGAAAAAGAGGGCATACTCCCAACTCATTCTACCAAAAAAGCATAATCCTGAAATCAAAGCAGACAAAAATATTAAAAGTTACACATTAATTTCACTTGTGAATATAGTTGCAAAAATCCTAAGTAAAATAATACTTACATAAATGGAAACAAAATCAAGAACAAAAACCAAAAAACCTAGGGCAAACATTACGATAAATAAGGAAATATCAGAACAAAAAAATCGGGAACAAAACAAGAATGGCCACAGTCATGGAGGTCCTAGCAATATAAGCAGCCCAGAAAAAGCAATGTGAGACTTAAGAGTTAGAAACAAACTGAATTACCATTATTTGCAGATGATGAGACCATCTATGTAGAAAACCCAAAAGAATCTATAGGGAGTTTAATAAACAGCGCAGTTTAACATAGTGGCTGCAATGTGATGAATACACTAAAAATGACTTTTTCTGGGCACTAACGGCAAACAAGTTGGATACATAATTTCAGAGAAGTATCACTTCTAATAGTATCATAGATGATCAAGTGCTCTGCAGGAAAAACTATACAAACATATGAGGAGGTACACAGAGAATAAATATATTTAGGACAATTTATTAACAGAGAAATATACCATGCTTGTAGAAGCCAGATTTAGTATTATGAAGATGTCAGTTCTCCTTGAAGTGATTCCACAGGCCCAGACAGACCTGTATCCCCACCTTTTGCATCTGAGCTGTCCTTGTGTTTTACTTTGGCCATGAAAATGCAGCAGAGGCCTCACAATGCCTTGCTCTCTTGGGCTTTGTGCTCATCACAAGAATACTCCCAGACTAGGCTGCTTGAGCAAAGAGAGTAACCCCCAGGGGCGCGTCAAAGGGCACACATGTAAGCCAGTGGGGCCTCGATCCATAGAGCTGCCTGGCTGATTACCGTACATGCAGGAGCAATAAACCACGTGCTATTGTAAGCCACTGAGTTTTTGGTGGTGGTGGTTGATGTAGCATTCCTGGTGCAATAGATACTGATGGTAGATTTCTGATGTCACACTACTAAAAAAAAACTAAATAAAGACAAGGCTTTACATGGAGTCAGAAGGTTATTACAATTAACCCAGTTCTACGCACTTGAAATCCAACAGCAAACAGGAATAATGGTTTTGACCTTTGAAGCAGTTTTCACGTCTTTCCCTTACCCTGTGTGCAAGAACGGTGGACTCCTGTACTGTGCTGTGTGCAAAAGACACAATGCAGAAGGACAGAACCAAAGGCAGTCAAAGTCTAAACGGTCAGATGAATCAAATGCTTACTGAATGGCTGCCAAATGCACGTCCTTGGCTAGATGCCAAGAACCACAATCAATAACTCCCTCTGTGACCTGTAAGAGTTGATAAGTACACAGAAGAAATAATTAAAACTATACTTGGAGGAGCAGGGATTGATCATTCGGATTCCTACTCATCCAGTAACTTCGTGTGCCATTTTTTAAGTGAACATCTTTTTATCAAAGACTAAATCTCAAAAAAGAAAAAAAAAAGGATATTTCAAAGACCGTTTAGTACTAGCTCAAATCACTGACAGTAATGAAATAGTCCAAAGTAGATAAAGTCCCAAAGTGCTTCCAGGCCCAGTCCTTTACAGAGGGAAGCGGGAGCTGCCAAGTTGGCAATGTCAGCATTGCTTCATCTTACTGATAACAGACAACATTCCCCAACCTTCCAGGATGGCTGCTGTTCTGATGCAGCTAGGTGCCTGCCTGCCCGTCCTTCTGCGTCCACCCAAGCCCGAGCCTTCCGGGTTTTCCCAAACACTACCCTTAATAATTATGATTTGTCCTCTACACAAAATACCATTGGGACCACCCGCATTTTCAGAAAATCTGATATACATCTAAAAATTCCATCTTTCAAACCCAAGAGGAGGTCCCGAGGGAGGTGCAGTGACCAGCTGCGCTGACGAAGCTGCGGCAGCTGTACATGCGAGTGTCCCGGAGGGTGCCTCCTTCACTCCGCGCGCCGCGGAAAGGCAAGGTTACGCCCCTCCCCGCCCTCGAGGTAGCCTCACCTTCCAGGTGCCCAGGCCTAGAACAGGTATCTTCCCCATGCTTCAGGGATCTGCTGCTGCGGCCGCGCACCTCCCCGGGGGCGTTACCGCGGTGGACGCCCCGATTGGTTGGTGGCGCCAGCCATGTTCACCTCTATTGGCTGGGGTTCGGCAACGCGCGGCCCCGATTGGCTGAAACGCTTAGCTGGCCGCTTCATGGGCACGCCCACATCTCTGGAGGAGCATTGTCACCGGTGGGAGACGGATGTACGCACGCGCTCGACATTGCTGCCCAGCGGGCACCCGTAGGCTTCCGGGCTTCTAGCGACCGGCCGGGGCGCACAGTACTCGCAGCGCCAGGGAGCAGGGAAAAGCCCCGACCCCCAAGCGGAGGGGGCTCCAGGACAGGGAGGGAAGATCCTTTACGTTCTCCATTGGTGTGCTTGTGGCGGGGACCGCTAGGGTCCCACAGGCTGGAAGAAAAGTCTGTTGGCCTTGGCTCTCCATCAGTGACCCATTGCGCTAAATCCAGTAAATGCCTTCTATCCTTGGGGTCCCTGGGAACAGAGGCCTCGGTACCGAGCGTCTGGGTAGTGCAGAACGTGGCAGAGCACTGGCCTGCTCCTCTGAGGGCTAGGGACCAGACCCTGGTTGCTGGAACTTTGGAGTCCTTTGGTGGAGATGGGCGGAATCATTGCTCTGGCTGGAGGGCTGCAGAGCTGGCCCTGACCGCCATGGGGGGCTGTGCCCATTGTGCTCAATGGGGCATCCGCAACAGGAGGAGCACCCAGATCTCATTCTGGGCTCTACCCTGCCTCCCACCCAACAGACTTTTATTTTTAGCATCCATCTCCAGTGTGAGCTGCTCAGAGGTGGGGATGAGGGTGGTTTCCAGATCCTCATTATTCATTTAGCAGCTGTGCTCTGAGCACTCACCTTGAGCAGCAGCTGTTAGGCTTGGGGGCAGTGCTGAAAGATCCCTCGTCGTCCCAGCCCTACAGGAGCTCAGAGCCTGATGGATGGACAAAAGCTCTGTGTGAAAGAGCAGAACAAATGCCACAGGGCATGAAGCTGGGGCTGGAAGGAGGGCCAGAAGCCCTCCAGTGGGTTCACATGGCCTCCAGGGCGACATTTGTGCTGTGACTGGAAGGACAAGAGCAGCCAACCCTGCACACATCTGTGAGCAGTGTGCCAGGGTGTGGGTAAAACTAACATTTCCAGAATATCTCGCCTGACCTTAGTATATCTGCATATCAACAAGCATTCAGAGGTGGAAAGGAGTATGGCTTTAGTTCATTTGCATCTTTCCTAAGGGGTGGAGAGAAGTTCATCTCCATATCAATCGGTAATTACCTGGGCAAGGAGGGCTTATCTGTACCAGAGAGGTGAGAGGAAGGGCAGGTTTTTGGTGTCTGCTGGAGCAGGAAAGAGAGAAGGTCCTGGACTGCAGCTCGTAAGCAATAAACGGATTTTAAACTTTATTTCTCCCTTTGACTGATTTCGGGTTTTAGAGGTATTTTGCCCTGGGATTTCCTCTCCCTGGATGTACACAGGGAAAGCTCAAAGATGCAGATATTTGGAGGCAGAAGAGCATTTGACCAGAGAAGAACTGAGAAGGAGCCAGTGAGGCTGGCAAAAGCTGGCATTAGGGACGGAGGGGAGAAGGAGGAGAGCCCACTGTGTGGCACATTGCCCAAACTTAACACTCACAAGAGCACTTACTATCTCGCAGTTTCTGTTACCAGGATCCAGGCTTGGCTCAGCTGGGACCCTCTGCCTCAAGGTCTCCAAGGACACTGCGGCTGTGGTCTCAGCTGAGGTTCTGTCTGGGCAGGGTGCCCTTCTGAGCTCATTCACCAGTCACTGGCAGGATTCAGTTTGGATTGATGGTCTCAGTTCTTTTCAGTCAGTTAACTGCAGCTCTCTCCTTTTATCAGTGGGAGCCAGAGAGAGAGAGAGAACATGGGAGAGAGCAAGACAAAGTCACAGACAGAATTTCTACCTGGTTCTGCAACCACCCAAAGCAGTTTATGGCTTACATGCAGTCTAGCATGCCTGGCTCATACCTGAAGCCTGTGCCCATTTCTCCTTACTCAGCTGGATAACTAGGAACCTATTGAGGCAGAGCCCAAGGGTGAGGAAGCCAGGGGTAGGTACATGTGAGCATATGAGGAGGGGTCCGCTCCTGGCCACTTAGGAGCCTCCAGGGGCCAACGTAGGGCCAGGACCAAACACTGGCTTCAGACTACCCATCAGGAGGACTGCGGCCTGGGATACGGCCTCTTGTGGGTTCCTGGGCTGGGCTTCTCTGGGAGGCCCTGGAAAGCGTCCTCTCTCTGGAAAGGTACTAGGAAGGCAGTTATGTTGGTGGTGTCTTCTCTCCTCTGGAAGCTCCAGTGCCATCTCCAGAATGCAACTGGCTCCAGTACCAGCTCCTGTATAATCTTAAGAACTAGATCCAGTTGCAGAACTACAGGACCAAAGCCAGAGACATTTCCTTCATTAGATTGGTGCCACCTCTAGCAGCAGGTCCAGTGCTAGAGCCAAAGGCACCACCAGTTCTAGCAGCAATCTGGACCTACAGCCAGCTTCTGCAGCTGCTCCAGAAGGAGAGCTAGCGCCAGCCCCATCTTTTCCACCAGTGGAGCTGAGCTACACCCAGCACTTCCGTCAGTGCCAGCTCCTGAGCCATATGCAGCCCCAGAGCTTTTTGCCTTCTCTCCCCAAAAAAGATGGTGGCACTTTTTTTGTTCATTTTTCCCTTTTATATTTGAAAATATCCAAAATATTTCATATGCTAAAATTTAGTTCAATAAAATCTAACCATTTAATCATTTTAAATTGTGCCATTCAGAGGCACTAAACATTTCCCCATGCTGTGTACCCAGCACTACAATCTAACTACAGACTGTTCTCCTTTCCCTGGAAGGAAAGCCCACAGCCCGAGCAGGTGCTCCCATCCCTCTACTCCCCAACCTCCAACAGTGGCTAAGCTGTTTGGTCTGTTTCTTGACCTCGTCTGGATTATTCATATAAATGGAATCATTATATGTGGCTTTTTGTGCCTGCCCGCATATTTTAAGAGGGAACTAATTAACTTTTGTTTTTTGTTTTTATTTAAAATAGCCCTTTTTATTTACAAGGGAAATTCCAGATGAATCACAGATTGTATACGAAAACTGAAGTTCTTACAGTAGATGTGTTCGAAATCTCAGGGTAGAAACCACTGTTCTACATGTCACAGGAGCCAGGAGCCAGAAGGAAACACCTGGCTTTTCTGCAGCCAACCAAAAATAAGAAAAATGTCACCAACGGAAAGACAGACAGGAACTAGAAAAGCGTTCATCTGAACCCAAGGCTAAAGAACGGTTTAACATGCTGGTGGTACCAAAACCTCTCAAATATCAGTGTTGTAAAAGGGACAAGGAGCAGCACATGTAGATCAAATGAGAAGCAGTGCATGTAGCCATGCATCACAGATGCTTGCCTCCCTGCTGAGGACACACACAAGTGTGAACATGATGGAGGGAGCATTTGTCACCATCACCAGCAGCTTTTTATGTCTGATGACCACCAGCCTTGGTGACAACATGAGGAAGCAGAGGCTCCTTTATGCCCCACCCCTCCTGCCCCATGCTCCAGCTTCTGAGTTCAGCAGCCAGGCCCTGCTATCCAGGACACAGGAGGGTGCCACCTGGCCGCTCCTGCCTGCCTCCTGTCCCTTTCAGTCAGGAAAGCACATCCAGCTCACCTCAGCAGTCACAGATGCCCCTGAACATGCCCCATCCAGGAGAAGTTCTCTGTTGCAACAGCAGAACCCACTTGAGCTTGTGTCAGCAGAAGAGGCCTTTACAAAACACAGAGGGAGCTCAGGGAAGCTGCTGGGAGGCCAAGCCTCAGGCTGGGGACTTTGGAGATGGAGAGAGTGCTCAAACCACCTCCAAGGCTCCACGAGGGGCACTCAGCTCAAGCCAAGGCCACACGGTATAGAGATGGGCAGAAGACGTTGTCAGACACTTCACAAAACAGGAAATATATCCTTAAACACATGAAATATGCTGAGTCTCAGTCATGACATGACAGTTACTAAATCCAAAAGATTGAAAGTATGCTCTGAAGCTTTATAGAAGTAAGAACTTTGATTCACTGTTGTTGAGAATGCAAGTTGTCTTCCAATCGAGGCAGTGTGGCCTTATCTCTCAAAATTACCAATGTATTTACCATTTGATTCAATAATCCCAGTTCAGGGAATTTATCCCATGGAAATACATAGGGACGTGGTTATTCATGCAGCCTTCTTCATAGGAGCAAAAGACTCGAAGCCACCTGGTAGCCTTCATTAGCATATCTGGCTAAATGAATGGTGGCCACCCACAGGATGAAATACAACGTTGGTGGGAAGAGATGAGAAAGGATGCTCTCGATATACAGATTTGCAAAGATCCGTATCTGGTTCTCACTGCCCACAGGGCCGACCCTTTGTCCTTTCCCTCCCACTTTGAGCTGGCTTTTTGAGCACCTGGGGATGTGGCTTGACTACTGTGCCACCAATGTCTGGGACATGGTGGCTACTGAGGTTAATGCTCAGGGATCCAGGCCCAACTTGGACACCGGTCAGAGGGGGACTCTAGCCAGTCTCCTGGAAGACCACAGGCCTCTGCTGTACCCATGAGGACACTGAGGCAGGTCCCCTCATCCCTGGGTGGTTCTTGGGAATCCTTGCTTTGGCAGGGTAGAAGACATACCCACTAGACTCTCTCCAGCTCTAGGATGCTGTGGCTCCGTTGAGATACCTGGATTGTGTCTCC